TCGCGAGCAATCGCGTATGATTTTAGCAAACAATATTCGTAAAAAGTTTTCAACATCTGAATTAAATGCAAAAGTCTTACACTGGGATGGTAAATTGCTCCCTGATTTAACTGGAAAACAAACTGTTGATAGATTGCCAATTGTTATAACTAATAATGACAGTGAACAACTATTAGGCGTACCTAAATTATTACAAGGTACTTCAAAAGCTCAAGCAAAAGCTATTTACCAATACCTATCTGGGTGGGGATTAATGGATCACGTAAAAGCAATGTGCTTTGATACGACTGCGATAAACACGGGTTAGTTAGTATAGAAACATACAATTTTATAATAAAATATTTATTTTAATATAATTTTTATAATGATATTTATTTTTAATAATTCAAGCATTTAAATGTTTGTACTTTAGGCCGAATCGGCGGTACATGTATATTACTTGAACAATGGTTGGAAAGAAGTTTATTGCATTTACCCTGTCGCCATCACATTTTTGAGATAATTTTGAGAAGTGTTTTTGATCATAAATTCGGTTCAACATTTGGACCAAACGTCCCTTTATTTCAACGGTTTCAATTAGCGTGGCCAAGACTTAATCTCAACAACTTCAAACCTGGAGTTCAAGACACTAAAGTTAGTCAACATTTAAATAATTCGACTGAATGTATTTTAAAATTTTGCATGTCTGAATTAACTAAGATTCAATGTAGGGAAGATTACCGAGAATTTCTTGAACTAACTGTTATATTTTTAAATGGCACTCCTGCTCGTCAAATCTTTTTTCGAGTTCCAGGAGCAATTCATCATGCTCGCTGGATGTCGAAGGCCATTTATTGTTTTTTTATGTTATATAAGAATTTAAATTAAACAAAAGAGAATACGATTCAGTTCGTGATATTTGTATTTTTATTGTTCTTTGCTATGTTAAAGCGTGGTTTAATGCACCAAATGCTTGTGTTGCACCACGCCAAGACTTACAATTTTTGCGTGATCTTTATGATTATAAGACAATAGATGAAAATTTATCTGAAGTTACACTAAAAAAATTTATCAATCATCTATGGTATTTGTCTCCAGATTCAGTTGGGTTTGCGTTTTTCGATGATGAAATTTCTGACGATACAAAAATTAAAATAGTTCAAGCTTTAAAAAAAGATAATAATGTAGATGGAGACTCAATTAATGTAGAAAAACGATTATGTGTAAAATTAAATTAAATACCAAGTTTTATAAATAATACGATTGAATCATTTATTTCAGATAAAACTTTAAATTTTTTTTAAAAGGTTCAATATAAATTATAACTTTATTGAAACATCGCCATCAACTTGGGAGAACAATTTAGAATACAAACGGGGTAAATAAATTATCAACAAATTACAAATTGTAAATGATACGGCTGAACGAGCTGTTAAATTAATTGAAGATTTTAACAAAATTGGTTCAAAAAATGAAGAACAGAAGCAGTATATTCTTCAAGTTCTCACGGAATACAGGCAACAGTATTCAAATTCAAACAAAATCACTCTTATGGAAAAATTATAATATATGCATGCAAAATAAAATATTGGTAGACATTTATTAAAAAATGTATTAATTATTATAAATTGTTTATAAAATTAAAATTCGTTTTTTCTTACAAAATATGTATTTATTATTTAATTTTTTCGTTAATTTTATGAATTACCTACTCAATTTTTTAAATATATTAATAACGTGAAACTTTTGAGAGCTTTGAGGCACGGGTTAAACTTATCCGATTATGCTCAAATTTTGTATGTATTATTTTTATACATATTGGAACCTAATTAGGGGGATCGATCACAAAAATTTAAACATTCAAAAATAAGGACACCCTAATGTACATGGTATCTCATTGCCATTAAAATCAAGGTTCAATATCATAATAATTTCAATTCAAGTGTCTTAATTTTTTTATTTTAATTTTTTGCCATTTATAAAGAGATTTTTAATTTTTTTGTATTCCATATTTTAATTTTTTTATCACTTATAAAGCGATTTGTTATTACATTTATATTTACATATATTGGTTTTTTAATATAACTTTAATAATATTTATATACAAGAGGAAGTTTGATGAAGATTGTTTAGTTGAAGCTACAATTAACCATTATATAATTAAGCTTAATATACTTTAGCTCAATGCTTCTCAACGGAGGCGATATCGCTCCCTGGTGGTCGATGGAGGAGTACCGAGGGTGGTGAGCTCATTTTGGGCGATTAGGGGGCGGTGAACTTTTTTTCCATTCAAATCTATTAAAAAAAATTCCTAGATTGGACTGATATAAAATTATCGATATCTTTATTTTCATAATCGTATATTTTATTTGATTATAAAATTATTCGTTTTTAGTATTCTGATTTGATATCAAAAGTTTTCATTGTTTTAACATTTTGGCCTTTGTTTTCAGTGATATATTGTCATCAAAAAATGCTAATGTTGTTACTTCTGGTGTTAGGTACCACCATATATTCCGAACTATAAAAATACACAAATCACGGAAAGCATTATGTTCATTTAATGTTAATTTAAATTCGTTTTGAAATAAAAATTTTTTCAGAATATATAAAGCTTTTTCCATTCAACGAGCATGATGTACGGATCCTAGAACTTTGAAAAATGTACCATTTTGAGTTTTTTCACTTAGAAATATAATAGTAAGTTTTAACAGTTCCTTATAGTAATCTTGAGGTTGAAACTGTTGTAATTGATTTTTACCGAACATTAAAAGGTTTTCTTTGAAATCTTGTACCGATTGAAAAACAAAAGTATCTTCCAATCCACTATGAAAGTTTTTGACATTAATATTAGGCCAAGCTTTTTAGAAACGTTTAAGATTGGTAAATCAGGGTCGGATGCAATATCAATTTTTATTTCAAAAAGACTTTTCAATATAACTTCAAGTATATGATGTCTACATGGTAAATATAGTATATCACGTTCTAGGCTTTGCTCTAATAATATACAAGCGCCTTTTAGTTGACCCATGATGGATGCCAATGGCGGTCAAATGATTTTGTCATGGGGGGGATATAGCTGATTTTTTAACAAACACTATATATAAAAATCTTTATTTTTAAACATGAAAATTATATTATATTAATGATATTTATATTATTAAATCTATTTTTCTGGTTTTTTTGCCAATTCATCCAGTACTTTGTCTGCCATTATATTGATAACCCCACGATGAACAGCCATAGTGGCTAAACCATTGAGACGACTCTAAAATAATATAATTACACAATTCATATATTATATTAAGCATTAAGTACTAAATTTAAATTTCATACATTTTTATAATTTAACTATAAAAGAAATTAAAAAAACCTAAAAAGTTTGTTTCAATTAATATTTTAGTGTTTTATGTTTGAACTGTTAATTTTATTCAAGCCTAGAGACTGTATAATAACTAATAAGTACAGTATATTTATTTTTTTTAATAGAAAATAGATGAATGCCAATATTATATTATGTATAATATGGATGAAAATATAAATAATTAAAAAAAGGTCATTGAGGGATCTATCCCCTTCATACCCCCACCTTTTGACTGCCACTGATAGATGCAGTTGTATCATAACATAAATCTTGTATGTTTTCGGTTAAACCCCAATTTTCAAAACCATGATATACCTACTGCTATTGCTTGATTTTGTCTAATGCCAGATATAAGTTCTGGTACACCAAGCAGCTGCTCTTTGCCTTTAAATGATATTACTATTGGTATACCAATAGTCAGTCAACCACTTTTTTTCAGATAGTGAGTGAAGTTTACCAACCCATAATCTCAATTGTAACATATTATCCGATTCCGATACAATTATTAGGTACAAAATATTATTATCTTAAAATGTGTGTTATTTATGACACTATTGAGTTAAGACAGTAAAATTTTAACTTGACACTTTCAATTTACACAGTGTTTCAAAAATACAAATATTAAAAATGTATATAACTTTTTAAGCTTTAAATAATAACAAATGTGCAAAAATAATAATATAATAATAAAAAATTGATTTTTTTAAATAAATAAAAATTTCAATATTAACTATATCATTTTTCTTATGAAATAATAAATGATAGATATTAATAGATTAATAAGATATTGTATAATCTGTATTATATTAAAACGTGTATTATTAATGAAACTCTTGAATTAACATAATAATATTTTAAATACATTAAATTTGTTTATGTTAAATCGACTGTTACAATAAAACAGTCAATCCAATAAAATTTATGGTAATCAAATTTTTTTAGGAAATTAAATTCTTTATCAATTGTATAAAAGATATATAAGATATTTTATCCTATCATCAATCATTATTTTAATATATTTAAATAACTGTAAAAAAAATTTTTTTTAAAATAAATAAAATATTTGATAGTTTATCATTTTTCTTGGGAAATAATAGATTTACGAGAAATTGTATGAATACGTTTTTTATTATTAAAAATAAAAATATCTATAATATATGATTTATACATTTTTAAGATAAATGCAATATTTTTTTGAATATAGTCAAAAAATAACGAAACAACTTTTTTTCACTAATATTGAACCCTCTTAGGGTACGTGAAGGGGTTGAGTAATCATGACCAAATTTTACCTCAATTAATTTCTTATAGTAATGAACAAAATGAGAGGGTGAGAAATCGAAAATTTATAAGTTCAAAAATAAGGACGACTTTAATATACATGTATGTATTCTTTGTAATGAATTATATTCATTTAAATGTTAATCACAGTATGAATAGGAAACTTAATTAAAAACTAACATATAGTATAATTTAAATATCACAGTATTTAACCCTTTTCAAAGACATAACTTAATAATATATATATGGTTTTAAAGGCAGTTATTGCTATATAGTATAAATTAAAATTTTAACTAAAAATTAAAAATATGAAACATAATACATTTAAAATTATAAGATTAATATATATATATATATATATATAAAATATTATTTTCTGTTCAATTTTTATTATCATTTCATTCATAGATATTCTTTAATTTTACGAGTTTCAATTCTTTTACATTTGGGACAAAAATCTCGAGTTTTCCAACATTGGTTGTGATAAACATTTTTGCACTTATTACATTCATCAGCATCTTCATCAAATGGAAATAATATAATGTCTTTTTGACAAATTTCACAAATATAGCCTTGATTTTTACAAATCTGTAAATAAAAAATTATTTAATATATCATTACAAATAGTGATAACAAATAACTAACTTCACATTCATGCCGTATATGTTTTTCACATATTTTTATAGTTTTTTTTAAATCCTCTAAAAAAACTCCCGATTTTATATCAACCATATCTTTCATACTATATAAGTTGCCATCATATAACAATTGGTGATTTCTAGAAGACATATTTTTTAACTGTGAGTTCCAAAGTTTACACAAAACTAAATACTTTTTCATTTTCACTAAATTATTTTTTATGTTCTATAACAATAAATTAATTCATTTAGGATTTGATTAATCATTCTTGTAATGATCAAGATATTCTTACCTTAATTTGACTAAGTGATTCAAGATACATGAAAAGTTTAGGATTGTGTTTTTCTAAATCATACATTTTTGATTTATACTTGTAATTAAGTAGTTGAAAAGAAGCCTGACTCACTCCCTTTTCCTCAAATTGCCAATTACATATAACACGAGCTGGTATTATAGCAGTTTTATTCCAATGGTGTAAAGGACAGTAAAATTTGCCATCATAATCACATAAACGAGCCTCTAATGAAAGAGTATCTTCTAAAAATAAATATATATGTATATGTTACCGGCAAAATGGATAATCTGGTATATTGCAAAATGCCTAGGCATTATATAAAATGCCAAAAATCACTCGGCAATATACATAATACAGGCTTTGTCTAGGTATTATGTATAATTACAATCGTGGAGTAGGCAATATGAAGAAAACAAACAAAATTGGGCATCGCTTATTACCAACGACTTTACTTATCGTTTATCATAAATGTGCGTTCCCGATTTAACGCAGTAAAGATTAATATTTTTTTATTACTATAATAATAATTCTGAGATACAATATTGAATGTACTAATAGTTTTATAACAATATCGTAATTTTTCTTGTCATTTTCGTGTCTCGTTTTGGTGTTGAAACTATGCATACGATTTATATGAAGTCAAATTTTTATGACAAACTACAACATTTTTTTAAAAATGTGGTCACTTATACTAGTTTTTTATCTGATGAACAATATAATGAGTTGATAAAAATTCAATCCACAAGAATTGGCCAAGAATTTTTAAAATGTGTTTGTAAGTCCAAGTGTCAAAATAAAAAGTGTATTTGTCTTAAAAATAACATTTAGTGCACTTCAAAATGTCACTTTTCTACAACATGTTAATTTAAGTAAAGTGAAATATTTATATAATAGTATTAATATAATAATAGATAAAAATTAAATGTTGTTTGTAATATGAATAATAATGTATAATAATTATAAAAACCTTAATTTAATATAACACATAATAAAATGTTTTGTATTCTGCCTAAAAAAAAATTGGCATTTTGCTTAATGCCTAGGTATTTTATAAAATACCTAGGTTATATGTAAAATAATATTAAAAATCATATGTTTTAATTACATTGCCTAAAATGGGTCGGCAATTTGCATAATGCCTAGGCATTTTGCCAAATACCTGAATTATCAATATTGCCTGTAACATATATAAATGATTTTTACATATAATATTTCCTTTTTATAGCACAATCACAAAAGATATTGTTAACATAAGCCCTGAAAATAGAAACTACAATGGGTCTAAAGTATCATCATTCTACTGAAGCATATTACATCAGAAAAAAGAAATAATATTAATTCTTAGATAATAATAATAATTGTATATATATATTACCTGGTGAAATTTGTAAGTTGCGGATTCGGATGTAAGATTGACATTCTGCACATTTGTAATCTTGAGATAACAATCCACTGTATGGGGATATAGTGAAAATCATAGAATTTTCGCTAGCAGTAACAGCTGTACAAACTCTTTTAATTTGTTCCACACAAAATATATGACATTTGTATTCACAATCTGAATGAATACAATTAATTAAGATTTATTTAATAGGATCATAAAGTACATTAAGTGTAGTTACATTTATATTATCTAGAACAAAAATGTAAGATATTTTACCAGTACATTGGTATAGCTGATGCATGTGTTTCCAAATAGGTTTTGTACATACATCACAAAATGTATTTTCCAACCAAGTAAGTTTCCATATAGGAGATAAATGATGACCAAAAATCACTTTAGTTGTACTAATTAGATCTTTGTTTTCTAAAGCATTCATTTCTATTACCATTACTAATTTGAATCTCAGTTCAACTAATCTTCTAACAAGTCTCATACGCTCTTTACTACATTCTTTGGTAGTTCTTAACATTTGATTACATTTTTCAATTTCTTTTTCAATAATATTTTCATTCAGATTGTTCTATAAAAATAACAACACATGAATATTTTAAATAAAATAGGACATTGACTAATTGAACTACTTCATTTATTGTTAAGAAGTTATCAGATATTGATGTTGAACTTGCAGATGATGCTGAATCAGATGATGATTGTGAAATCACTGAGTCATCCATTTCAACAGAGAAAAAAAAATTATTTGGTAATGAACTCATAAAAAAGTAATAATCTGAAAGCATAATTTTAATATTAAACTAATAAATGGAATTGAAATGAGTAATAAACTAATGAAAAATTCTGAATATTAAGTAATGGTTAAAAAAAAAAAAAAAAATTGTAACAATATTTATTAAATGTAAAGCAAAAAAAGAAACTTCAGAATTTTCATTCTTCTTAATATTGGCTCTATATTGTATAACATGACACATAATCGGCATACCAAATATTAACAGTAGATTAAATAGTATATGAGCACAGTATTTAACAATATAAAAATATGGTCATGACTTATTGTTTAAATGTATTATTAAAAATAAAATAAAGCAATATCTTATAATTTATTGAATAGTTAAATTAAAATTAATTTTATTGTAGTCTGAATATATGTTGAGAAATAGAAAGTATAACTATACGTATTAATTATCACGGCCTTAGAATAAATATATGAACAATTTCATGATAAGATATTTAGTGATAAAAAATTATTTAAATAGTAGCATTGATAATAAATACCATAATATAGTATTTAATTATCTATGATAGTAGGAATTTTTCTACTTTACCCATAAAACTTATACTATAAGACTTTACCATACCAGTGCTGGCCCGACGGTTTTCAGGGCCCGGTGCAGAATTTTGCGGGACCCCATACAAATATATTAATTTATTAATTATTTATATAAATCTATGTTTTTTCGTATTATTACATAACTAATTATATACTGTAACTGTATTTCGAACTGTCGTCGATGATAAATAATTTTACAAGTGCATGCGCGTATAAAACTTCAAAGCTATGCGTAATTGGTACCATCTTAATTTTCATCGATAACAACCCGTTTACTGAGAAGACCACACGACCACGTGGGTGGCGATTTGCGTACTGAGACTATATTATTTTTATTTACAAATAAAGTAATAATCGTAATATATAATTTGTAGGACCCCAAGGGCGTATTTAAATATTTTTTTTTTTTTTTTAAGGGAGGGGCTGTGGTATTTTCTCCAACTGAAATTCCCCAATTCAGCCTATTAAAAACAAAAGTTGGAAAATTATTACACAAAATTTACCTATAATTGCGAAAACAAGTAACTATAAGACGTAAACCGATCACCGTGATAGTGTTATTGGTCGTCGCCGTCACTTCTCGGAAATTTTTTAGCTTATAGGGGTTCGTATAAAAATTGTACGGTGATTGAGATGCCACAACGCGTGTATATCAGTAAATCCATTCTAGGTAAAAGATGTGATCGCCAAAATGTGTTCGCTGTGGAGACTCTCACGCGTCTGAAAGCTGTGTAAAATCTGCTGACCAACCAGCAACATGCGCACTATGTAGTGGTGCCCACCCAGCCAATTACAGAGGTTGCCCTGTGTTCAAAAAAAATTCAAGCTGTCCACCATCTCAAAAGGTCAAACCCAACTCAAGCTAACCTGAAAGAAGTACCCTCTAATGTAAAAATCACTAATGTAAACTCTACTTCCAATATGAACACCCAACCCAAAAAATCTTATGCTCAAGCTACAACAACCGATTTACCGAGCCAAGACATCCCCACCAACGCATCCCAAAATCCCGACCACCTAGCCCACCAAATGGCGCTCTTTCTCAAAAACTTCCAATCCACCATTAATCCACTGATCTCTCTACTTACTACTCTCATTGAAAAACTAATTTTGTCTAATGATAAATAGACAAAATAATATTTCTCACTCTATCTCAATCCTTCAATTGAATGCTAATGGACTATTGCGTCAAAAGAACGAACTTCATGCCTTCCTCTCTATAAACTCCATTGATATTTTATTCATCTGCGAAGCACACCTGACACCAAACTCTTCCTTTAACATTCCTGGCTATACTACATATTTTCATGTAACCACCCCGATGGCTCTTCCCACGCGGGTTCTGCAATATTATTAAAGTCAAATATTAAACATACCATTCTTCCCCCATATCAAAATAACGTCATACAGTCCACTAACATCTCCCTAACACTAAATCATATTCCTACCACTATCTCATCGACTTAGAAAGTGAATTATGTTACGATACGATTCGGAGTCGGATGTTAGTATTTTTAGATCGTTTATTGAAGATTTAAAGATAAATTTATCTGTACCGATCAGTTTGATTGATACCAAATATTGGTGGTCGAAGTTTCATTTTAGTGCCTTGGGAAACAACAGGAGGTACATTTTCATTTAAAGTATAATCATTTGTAAGAGTTGCCGTTTCGGTGACGTCGTTTGAGAGTGGAGAAAATCTGTTGTGTGTGATAAATTATGGTTTAGTCTTTTTGGTTTCTGGAATATCTGTCGACGACAGATTTCATTTAGATGATTTTTTGGGATATTCGAAGTTATCGTCATTATTTTCATCTAAATCCATATCGGAAGAATTAAATACATCACTTGATCCGCTCGGTATACGGGTGTCGTGTGATATTTTTAAAGAATTGACAGAACCGACTTTTTGTTTTTGATTGGAAATAGGAATAGGAACGAGACGAGCTTTGATTAGACGTTTGTTTAGTGAATGTATTTTTGTTCTTATTGTTATTGTAATTAATACTGGGAGTTTGATTTTTCATTATATATTAATGATGTTTAATTATCTGGAAGTCAGATTGTCAAAAGTAATTGCAGGTCCAAAGGTCACCACGCGTGGCGATGCCTTGGAAAGGAGATGATAGTGTTTTTCATATACTGCGCGTAATTAGTAAATATTTGTTATTACTTTTTTCCTTGAAGATGAATTCGTAGGCTGCTGGTAAACGTAGAAACCAGGTACAGTATAAAAAACTGAGTTTATTGATAGAAAGCACAAAGAAATCTGATGGAAATGAGGTGATTAATTTAAACATAAGAGATAGAGATAATATTTCGCGCGCGTTTAGTTTGACTGTTCGCACGAGAATAAGAGATGATATGATACACAATTTTGATTAATTAACACTTAAAAACTTCAAAAAATAAATAATTTACTTTGTTCTTTTTAAATAATATGGAAAAACCATTTCATCCACTATTTTTGGCGACCCCTAAACCTATGATTCGTGACCCCCAAGTTGAAAACCACTGATAGTATTCGATAAAATGTTGTCACTGGTTGTCATACATGTGACAAATAATCGAATGATTTTTAATTGATAAAATTTTATATCTTTTCAAGAATAAAAACAATGTTATACCCTACGACTTATATGTTTATCACTTCAAGAATCGGTCCCCTGGGGTGTTAAAAAACCCTATTGTGGCCCCCTAGTTATGCCTATGTAAGATATAATCATGAAGATTAGATATATCGCTAATCTTCATGATCTGGGCCTATGGCATTACCACAGAACAACCAGAATAGAAACTGCATAGAGCTTAGATTGCATAATCATCTAAAACTCTAAAATTCTAAAACTACGATCACACCGTGATGGTAAAACGCGATAGTTGCTTTTGTAACATCACTGAGTCATAAAATATGGTATCGTTGTAGATTATCTCTTATTTGGTATATGATGGTAACATTATGAACTTATGAATAATTTTGTTATCAAACGTAAAAATATTAAAAATACAAATCATGATAAAGTAAATAGTAATTTAGTAATTTATCATGATACAAATAATCTTATAGACCATGCATTTAAATATAAGACTGAAATCATGTACATTGTTTTTACGAATCACGACTCGACTGTAATAGTATAATCACGGTATAGATTAAATCACGATTATAATATCTAGATCAAATAGTTATGTCTATAATTATAAAAATTACCCGTGTACTTCAAATAAAAGATAACTTCATTTACACAAGTCAGTTTGTTTATGTTCATTCACGTATCATACGACATTAATAACGAGGTATTTTCTATAATTTTTATGAAGAAACTTCATCTATAAACGATTGAAATTAGAAGTACAGATTAACTGTGATACAAATCGGTTTATTTTAAAAGTATAAAATCATTTTGTATTTTATTTAAAATTTTCATATATTCAGATAGTTTATGCATCAATTTTTCCGAAACTACACATTATATTTTAATTGTTGAATCATTGTGAGTTAATAGCAATGTCTTCGAAAAGTTCTAAGAAATTTGAATGTGATGAGTGTATGAAAACTTTCTCAAAGAAAAACAATTTGAATGATCATATTTTGGCCAAACATTCCAACGTAGAGAAGTATGTGTGTTCAATTTGTAAAAAATCGTTTTCTTATAAGCAATCATTTAACCGGCATATGAATGTACACAAAGTAGCAATTTCTGTGTACTCATGTTCTGAATGTGGCTACAGTTCACGGTTAAAATTCATGTTAACTCGACATATTAAAAGTGTTCATCTGAATGTAAACAATAGTATTTTAAATGTATCATGTGTGTTTTGCAATCAACATTGCTCCAAAAATAATTTATCTACACATTATGTACTTTGCCATCAAACTGAAATAGTTAGCGAAAAGTTAAAGTTTGATAGTTTAGATGCATTTTATGCATGGAAGTATGAAGTTGAAGATCAAGATATTAGTAGGTAAGTAATATTAGTAATTATTTTCTTTGGTTTTTAAAAAATAATAGATGGTTAATATTTATTAAATTTTAGGTTTGTTAAAGCTCGCACAACTTATGTCGGTGTATCTGGTTCAAAGCATTTGTTTTTTAAATGCCATCGTGATGGAAAATATAAACCCAAAGGCAAAAATATTAGAAAGCTAAAATCACTAGGTACGAATAAAATTGGTTCTCATTGTCCAGCTAGAATGGATGTTATGGTTGAAGGTAATGAAGTAAATGTTATGTATATCAAAACACATGTTGGTCATGATTTAGAACCAAAGCGATTAACTTTAGCTAAAACTGAAAAAGATTTCCTTGCCAAACAATTAGTAATGCCCAATACTAATTATGAAGATATTTTAAATGTCGCAAAAACCTTAGATTCATCTAGTCGTTTACATCATTTAACCAAAAAAGATTTAGTTACAATTAAAAGTTCTTTAAAAGAAACAACAAAAAAAATTAATATTAAAATACCTGAAAATAATGATAAACCAAATGACTCCTTAGAAATAAACAATGTTTTTGATGGTGATTTAGTAGCTCTGTTTGACGTTCAAAATCATGAAAAGTCATCACTTATTTTAAATTCAACAAATGATGATTTAGAATCAAAATCTGTAAAACAAGATCTTGTTAGTATTAGTGATACCTTGCTAACTTCAAATCATGTTGAAGAAAAAAATAGTTTTACTAATAAACTTGAAAATATGTATGAATTAAATAATTTGAATGTTGAACAACAAATAATAGAATCAAATGAGCAAATACCAATTTTAGAATTTAACCCTCATGTAAGTATATTTTACAATACATTTTAATTTATTAAATAAATTTACTATTTTAAATACATTTTTAAAATTTTAAAATTTTTATTTATTTTTATTCCATTTTTGTGTTTAAAATATTAGTTTTTTCTTATGGTTAAATACTACTCATTGTGTTTTAATTACCATTTAATATACATTAACTAATTTTGTTTTGAGCAGGCTTATATTTAATTGTTATATTAATACTAAAAATAACGTAAATTACATTTTACTAGAGGCAATAAACTTTTTATGATATGGCTTTTAATGTATTATAAAATAGTAGTATACCCACAGAAAAGACTACATTTAATACATTTTGTTGTATACTTATCAACATATAATAATATTTATAATTTTTAAAATCTTATTTTAGATGTTAGATAGTAATCAAGTGTTAGATTACCAACAAGAATTGACAATTATTGAAAATGAAAGACTGAGTATAATGGAGAAAATGAAGTTGATAGTAAATCAAATTACTTGCAATGATGAATTTGCCATAATACATCAAGGTTTGATGAATATAATGAGTTCAATTGATGAAAGAAGGAATGCAATCAATCAAGCAGTACTTAATGGAGATTTAGATAATATAGTAATATTTGATGAAAGTATTTTACAAAAATAAAGTAAGTAAAAGGAGGTAAAATAATAAACATTTAATGCAAATTACCTAGTCAGTGTTAATGCATGAAATTTAATTTAATTTAAGTATTCCAAAATGTATATAGGATACTTGCAGTCGATGAACATCTTAGTTGGAAATTATCATACTAAATTGTTTTAATTTACAAGTTTATGAAAAAGCATTTATTTTGAAAAATATTAAATAACTAACTATAAATCCAACCACATTTTACAAACTAATTTCATTTTAGAAAGAAGTATCTATATTTTTAATTGATCTGCAAATTAATATTTTCTACTAAATAATTTTAGTTAGTAGACCTACTGATTTATTTTTGCTTATGAGTTATTTGTAATATTTTTTATTACAGAAAAGTTAAAATTATTTTAAATAATTAAAACCAATTTAATAGAGATATTTTGGTTATTCATTTTTACAACACTTATCAGTATAATTTTTCTTATCATATGCATATCATTTTATCACCTATTTTATTGGTGTGTTGTTACTTATTCAATTTTGTTGTCTACTTATTGTAAACATTTTCAAATTATAATTAAAAGTCTCAATTTTAAATTTATTAAATTTTAATTAGATGTCTTCTTATCGTGTTTTTTAAATATATTTCAAAGATGTGTTTAATGTATAATAATGTGTCTGTTAATAACATTTTACTTAATAGACAAGTTGAATATTTTTTTCTATTCTCATATTTGCCACACGTTGCTTTATTAAAAAAATATATTTAAAATTTATTTTAGTACTAAATATAATTTAACCATGTCTTTTCAATTTAAAAATGTATTCATATCTTGCCTTTTAATGTTGCCGTATTTTTTTTTCTCAATATGCATAACATTTTACCAAAGATCATTTTTAAAAGTATGGACAGCTGTTACTTAAATAATTTTATATCTACATTTGATGATTCTGAAGTTATTTTATTTAAATTAAATTATTTTTATTTTCTAGATGTTCCATTTTCCTTTGCTTGTTGTTTCATGTCATTTGGTGTTCAAATTTTGTGCATCATTAATTTGCCGTTATGTATACCATAAAAGTATGAAAATTCCATTAATCAAAGTATCTTGGGATGTTAAAGTTTCAAAATTTGCACCTATTGGAATATCAAGTGGAATTGATGTTGGATTTTCTAATTGGGGCCTAGAACTTGTTAATGTGTCATTGTATATATTTTCAACAATATTTGATTTTATTTATTTTTATGAATAGTTAATTTATAATTTTTAGATACACTATGACAAAGTCAACGGCTATTATATTTGTGTTACTCAATGCTCTAATTTTAAGACTAGAAAAAGCAGTAAGTAAATAATAATTTATATTTATAAATGCTTAAAAAAAATGAATTTAAATAATTGTTTGTATTTATAGTCTATGACACTTTTCATTATTGTATTTTCAATTTCTGGAGGATTATTTTTATTTACGTTTAAGACCACCGATTTTAGTACTTTGGGATTTATTTTATTATTGGTTGCATCATTTGCCAGGTAAATATAATTATTTTTCATTATCTTGATATACTTTTCTCTTACAAAAAACTTCAAAACTTAATGTTTAGATTTAGACAGTTTTGTTTAAATAAATATTGGAGTAAATTTAGCTTTTATTTTGTCGGCAATTGAATTTATCAGTGTTATTATTGTTCTTTCACACAACCACTTAATTTTTTTTGACATTAAATTTTTTATATCTGAATAAACATTTAGTAGATCATTTTAGGTATGAATTGAGTTCCTAGTTCATCACTTAATTCGATAAAATTATTATTATTTAATTATTGCTATTACCAATATCTAGTGGCGCAACCAGGATTAGTTTTCGTGGTGGAGGGGGAGAGGTTGTGAATTTGGAAAAAAAGCATTTTTTTGCAGGTGTTTGGTAGGGATAAGGAAGTAAGATTAAGTTAGGTTTATAAGTATTATACAATCGACTATCGAGAAATTGTAGTAGCAAGATTACTGATGTTTTAAAGTTGAACAGACAGTTAAAAAACGTTCTATATTATCATGTTATTATTATTATCAACTATAATACGAATAATATTCATATTTCATATTAATCATCCATTTCGCGTCTTCAAGATAAATCATTTTTTTTCCTACGTAGAATTTGTAAAATCATCAGAAAAATTTTGGGGGGTCATAACCTACAAACCCCACCCCTAGTTACGCCACTGCCAACATCTATTAAGAAAAACGCAAAATTAATCTAAATGATCTCTTATTACTCATTGTACATTCATCCCGAAAAGTAATTACTGTTTTTTGAAGTACCTTTGCAATAATACCATTTTTTCTAATAGAGCAAACCAATTCATCCTAAAGATTGGTATTAAGAAGTAATTTATATAGAATGTACTGTCCTTCCGCCGTTGAGGAGCATAGTAGTAATCCCTGAAGATGCAATGGCTAAAGCTACCCGTTCGCGTGAACGAATTTTCGCAAGCAAAAAATTAGTTAGATTAGCTGTTCCGATGCCTCCAGGCACATCAATAAAAAATAGGCTACCTTTATTTTTATGGCACTAACCAGGTTAAGGGGGGGGGGGGTGTTATTTAAAATTAATTGATAAAATTATACACACGAAATTGATTACTTTACGTTTATTTAAATTTTTTACATATATATTATTATAATTAATACAAAAAAATATATATATATATATATATATATATATATATATATATATTTTTAATTAAATTAACTTAATGCGTCTACTTTTTAAAACTAGTGTATCTATTATTTCGTTGGTGATTACGACTAAATCCCGATGAATATTCATAACTGCTAAGCCGTTCACCGATTTTTACCAGTTGTGTTTCTCAAATATGTTTTTGAGCGCCGTAAAGAGGAAAAAGATCTTTGACTGCTTGCAGTGGTTACTGGTAAAGTAATCAATATTTTTAAAAGTCGATGAACAGTAGGAATTATTTATTACTGTGTAATGCCGAAAGTACAATAGTCAACGAGTAGCCGACTACAAAGTTTTGTTTCGGAGTTTAAAGATACATTTACATACATTTACATCCGATGGACACGTTTTATTTTGTATACTATGTGGTAATTTTTTTTTTTTAATGCATATAAATGCATATTATAATGCATATTTTAATGATTTTAGAAGCAAATTTGCATGCATATTTGTGTATTTTTTAAAACTATAAGTCCCTAAGTCTAGTAGTTACTAATTAATGCCTGGTCCCGGCTTTAGTGCCTTACATTATTGTTATCATAATATATATTTCATTTTGATAAATAAGTTTAAATCATGGCTTATGATGCATCTTTATCTTGATAAAACATTAAGTATACCACGGCTGAGGGGGGTGTTACTAAACCTGTAACCCCCCCCCCCCATGGCTACGCGCCTAGCACTAACTATTAATGTGTTATAAACTTAACGTTGATCTGAAATTAATTTTGATTCATTTTCGATTACATAAATGTTGGTGTACATACAATTATTAGGATTAAACTCCAGTTTAAATTAACCATAATTAGTTGGAAATCCGCTGACCGCCGCGCTGCATATAGGTTTACAATTTACACATTTAATTAATTATTAATTAATTATTTACTCACTTTAATGAACTAAATGTATGCCTTTGACATTCGCGTGATCATAATGAACACACAAAAAAAAATATGATCCAAATTGAACCGATAGTTATCGAATTTACTTTACACAAAAACTGCGATTACAGCGTTATATTTATAACTAGTATAGAGTATTGATATTTATACATTATTTTGTTGATAAGAATTAACTATTTACCAGGGATGGAAAACGTTATTGAATTTTTGATTTTCGTTTTTGTTTAACATTTTTAAAAACGTTTTTTTTCTAAATTGTTTCCAAATAACGTTTTTGATCATTTCTTTTTTTTTTTTTATACATCCTTATTTCCTATACCTAACTTATAGTAGTTATAATGAATATTCAATATACTGAATTTAGGAATGCACATAAGTTATGATTAATTATTCTTAATATTTAAAATTTAAATTTCAAATCATAATTATAATTTATATTTTATGTAAAAATAACAAAATTCAACATTTTAAATTAAAACGTTTTTAAAAAATGCATTGGTAAAGAGTAAAGACTAAAAAGTAAGTAAAGACTTAAAGTAAAACACTATTTTAGATTTTTATAGTCATGTTATTATTATAATAAATTATAAAACAAAATCGATTCCTAATCAACTGTTAAAATCAATAGATAATAACATAATCATATTATAATAATTGAAGTGACAACCATCAATGGCGTGCCGAGATAAACATTTTTTTTGATTCCAATTGAAAAGTCTAGTTTACCACCCACCAGTGGAGACGCGAAATATTTTACTTCATGAGTCCTGTTAGTATTTTGCCCACCCACCTATCTAAAAAGAAATTTAAGGGTAGCTTGTAAAAAGAGCTCCACCACTATTCGTTCTACATGTTACATACCCACTCAATACCCAATGGTCAATACCCACCCACCTACCCACCCACTGACTTGAGTCCAGAGACTCAAAAATCTGCCGTCACGCCGCCACTGCCACCCACCCTCCCATATTTAATTTAATTCATCTCATTCAGAACTCGTATATCAATATTTCTCTACCTAAATATGTACGATAATTATGTGATTTACATATTATTATCTAACAACCACCCACCCCTTTTTAACTTGATGGCTTCATTTAGATCTATATTCGACACGTCACTGTCAACCATGTTATATTATGATCCATGACCATCGCCATGAAAGATAATATAATTTTACCGTCACCACTGCAATGTGTATGTGCCATGTTGACTGTAATTAATTATTGTGCTATGCTATTAATATATTTTATTTGTCAACAAATACCTATTAGTTATCAGAATTATTAATTTTTTGATAACAGATATATATTTTTTTCGTAATAAATAATAATAGTATAATACTATAATTTATTTTTGATTTCGTTATTACATATATTTTTTTGTTTTCGTTGTATTAATTTCTTTATTATATTTTTTAGTTTTCGTTTTTCATTTTTTTTCGTTTAATAACGTTTTTTAAAAAACGTTTTCCATCCCTGCTATTTTCTAAATATTAAAAATATTTTTAAGCTAAAATATTTAATTATTTATTTTTAATTTCAGTGGTTTTCGTTGGAGTCTGTCGCAGTTTGTTATGCAGAAAGCTGAATTATGTGTAAAAAGTCCAGTTGATATGATGTATTTTAGCCAACCCTGGATGTTGATTTCAATATTTCCTATTTTTGTGTTTTTAGAAGGTAAATAGTATAAATAAATATGTATACCTAAATATAAATAATATTGGCTATATTCTGATTTTGACTAGAAGAATTACTTTGATAATCACCAAATAAAAAATTTAAGATAGGAAGTAGCTTTTAGCTGTCACTATGAATGGTAGCCATTTTAAGATTTTTTCAGTAGTTTTCTTAATAATTGCGAAAAACAGAAAAACTGCAATAAACTTGAATTTTTAACCAAATTTCAAACCTTCATTACTAATCACTTATTATTTTGTCATGCACTATTATCTTTATGGCTTAACAAGCTTAAGGCCAAGTGCTTTATGATTTTTGTATTTAAAACTTATAACAATGAATTGCTTTACTTTATTTAAAACGAGTCAAAGTGTTTAATTGTTTTATATATACCTATCTTTCTTAACAACATATCAAGACTGAAGAATATGTGCTACATCGTTTAAATAATAATCATAATAGTGTTCAACGTGTTCTGCACAACGATTAATACAGTTTGTTCAGTATGATGAACATTCTTCCTCATTAAAGCCACTTTATATCTGTGTGTGGCAAAAGAGAATATTTTTTATAAATTATATCCGTTTAGTCACACAATACTGTAATACTGTAATCAATGCACCAACAAAAATTAATTTGAGAATTTAAAATAATAAAATAATTTTTGAATTAGATAATATGAATCATCATCTTCACTCGTCGTCATTCGCACTATTTTCCTTGTTACCATTACTCATATGGGATATTTTTTGTCTAGTTGTACTTCATATGTATAGATTAAAAGAGTAAATAAATGAAAACCAACCTAGATATAAAGAATTCTTTCCCAAGTTTTATTAGGCCATTATCATAAAAAAAAAATTAAAAACTATTGTGAAAAAAAAAATTGATTTATATTTTATCATTATATTATTATTTAGCCTATTGAGCATAGCAATCTGGACATACTTTGAATTATCACTGTATATTAATTTAACACATGTCGTGCAAACTTTTGTTGTTTTGCCTTTTGAGTTAGTCTATTTTGAGTTTTAAAACCAAGAAAAAAGAATTGCTTGCACGAGGTAAATTATTTTCAAACATTGATGCTGATCACTTTATGCACTTTAGCATGTAAACAAAAAACCAAGATATTCAAAACTAGTTACATTTTATTTATAAGCGCATTATTTGAGGCTGTAGAAATGTATTTATGTATATATTATATATATTTATCTTCACGATAACATTTATAAAATTATAAATAAAAACCAGCTGGGTCATTATTTACCCCGTGCGAATAAAAATGGGTTATTTGATATAATTACATACACTTAAACACCATAGATATATTTTATTCATAGGGATAAACTAAGGATTTCAACGAAAGGGGGCAATGGCCCTCTTGGTGTTTTGTAAATTAATTAGAAAAATATTGTATAAAAGGTATTTTAAGTTTTTAAGAATTATTTTAGCAATAAAAGTATAATTTTTTTGAACTATTAACTTTAAAAAATAAATAAATATTAGGTTAATCAAAATGTATTTTTTCGTTAGTATTTGCCACCACAACATTTCTTGATGCAGATTAAATATAACTAGTCTTAAAGTAAACGATATATCAAGTTTGACCCCTCATAAAAATTGCCTAAGTTACACTATGATTTTATTAAACTAGTCTATTTTTGCAAGCATATTAATTTAGTAAAATGTATTTATACTAATAAATATAATGAATAATTGTATTAATATTTTATAAATATACTATTTTATTATTACAGGAAATGATTTTTATAACTGGTTGAATAATAATAAAAGTACTGAATGTTTTCAAATGATATCACGTATCTTAATTGGAGCTTGCCTTGCTTTTATTCTTGAGGTATCAGAATATTTTGCTGTTTATAAGACATCTAGTATTACATTGAGTGTAGTTGGAGTAATCAAGGTTAGTATAATTTATTTTGTTAATTTTATCATTTTGATTTAATTATTTGAATTTCAGGAAATTTGTATTTTGATTTTGGCTGTAGAATGGAATGGTGACAAAATTACTCTCATGAAATTTTTAGGTCTTATTATGTGTATGATTGGTGTTATTGGTCATGTGTGGCAAAAGTATACAAACTCTGTATCAATTGAAAATCGTTATGGTATTATTAGTAATAATGATAACAAGCATTTAACATTACCAGAAAGTTATTCTGATGATTCTGACGAATCAAATAATTCAACGGAAATGCTTTTTGATATATTAAATAGGCGACATTCTTAAACAATGTTTGTTTTATTTTTTAAGGCTGTGAATTTTATATTTTCAATATAAATGACTCCAATATTTTACACTATATAATGTAATTTGGTTATTTTTAATTGACTTACCAAAATTAATTGTTTATTTAGTATTTAACATCACATTAATTTTAATTATTATGTAATTTAAATTTTCTTGTATATCTACTAAGTATTTTGAATCTTTTTATACCATTCTAAGTCAAATTATTTATGACTGTATAAATAAAATAAGTTGTTGATTTTACAAAATCATTAGATAAATTACTTAACTAGTATAATCAAATAATATATTTACTATTGTTATTCATGACATAACTAATTTTGTTCTCAGTACTATATGAATACTACAAATTAAGTTAATATTTCTTCAACATAAACATTGTATTTTGTACTCTAATTTATTTATTTATATCAGTGCTTTAAAAATAAAGTGCGTTTTGTGTAATAAATATACTTAAATAATTATGTGCTGTGATTTTTTAACTATATAAAAGTAAAAAAATGCTTACTCTTTTGCATAATAATATAAATATGTACTCAAAATGAAAATAATCTTACAATTAATACATCAATACATTAATACATCATATTGATCATATTTCGAGATCATAAAATAACAAAAAAAAAAAAAATATTTCCGATAAATTAATACAACATATATATTTTTTTTTTATTAAAAAAAATTATCTTAAATGTATAGGTATTTATTTACTAATCTTACAGATTAATGATATGAAATTAACATTAAAAAAATTATCGATATCTTATTGATTATATTAAAAAACTATTACCTAATCAGTTCAAAGTATGATAAACAAATAAAATTACGGACAATATAAGGGTTAAAGGACACTCAATATTGTCTCACTTGACTAGCACACACGGTTGTTCTTGGGCGCCCTTACGGGACGTAGCGTCTCTACTGCATTGATTATCCGCTGGCCGTTGCCGGTCGTCCGATTTTCATTTCGCTCTGGGCAATCGTCATCCACAGGTTGCGGCTATTATCGTACCATGTGAGTCCGTAGTTGTACTTGCCGTTCAAGTTGGCGTGCTGACATCGAGAGTACCACCATCCGCCCTCGTAGTTCGTCGCACAGTTGGCCCTGCTGGTGTCTTGGTCGTGGTCGGCTGTGCTAAACCGATGGCCGTTTTGGAAGGACAAAGCGTCGGTGGCGTTTCCCCGGTACCCAGATATGTCCAACTGGTAGCCATCGGTGGCGTCGGACACAGCGAAATGTGAATAGTCTGCTTGCCAATTGTTGCCGTATATGTCGGTCATCAGAATGCGCAGAGTAGACGCATTGCCCAGTGTCAACTGATGGATTGCTTCGTTGCCGAGCCAAAAATCACCTGCAATTATTAATCCATTATTAATAACAGCATTACCGTTTCGGTTTAATATGTACGCATATATACGCATATGACATAGAATACAATATGTTTTTACGATTGTTGAACGTTTGGTTAAAATATACCTAGATGGTAAAAAATAAAATGGATTTTCCCCTACAGTTTGTCTGGAATGATACAGGAACAGTCATTTTAGCATGACACAATGATCACATTGTTACATAGTTCGATAGCCGTACACGCTTGTTGAGAATATTGTAACAGCGTGTGTTTACACATTATGCTCGAGAATCAAAGTCAACTATCCTTGAACAAGTACCGTTATCGATTGTATTCTTTATTATTTAGTACGAAAAGGGTTAGAGCCTGGCTCTTTACTGTCTCACTGGTTCCTATTGAGCCACGGGGTGTCCCAACAAAATTATTCACAAATAAACGGTATCTAACAGTTTAATTATAGGCGCAACTTGGTAATTCGAAACAGTTAAGAGTTTGCTAATTTTTTTTGGGAAATACATTTCGTTTTATGAAAGTAACTAGATACATTCTAATACTCTTAATTGTCATTGAAATAACATTTTTAAAATATTTTCATTTTATAATTGTATTTTTCACTTTATCTTTATAATAATTTAGACAAAACTATAAAAATTAATTATTTTTCAATTAACTTACCGTTCAAGTTTCCGAATCCTTTAGCATATTCGTTCCAGTTGTGATTGAAATTCAGACGATCATTAGTCCTTTTCTGTATGGTAATCCAGGACATATTATCCGATAAATCACAATGAACGAGCAATGGGTTTTTTCCATCGGGCGCTATTAGATATATTCCCGAAGATTTCATTTCAGAACAATCTAAACAAAATTGATTTTAAATTAATTGAAAATAACTTCTAAACCATATGTGACTAGAATTAATGAATGAATAGGTATAATCTTTATATTACGTGTAATTCAGTGGCGGCTCGTAAGGTTCACATAAGGTGGTGCACAAAAAATGTATAAGATATCTATGTTAGATGGTAAAAAAATTAATTTTGCTTTAGGTAAATAGGTAAATACCAAAATAATATACCTACTTATCTTATCTAAATTACATTTTTTTTAAGCACTTTACCCCATTAAAATATATATAAATTATAAAAAATAACTAACTAGTTATTATTAATTTAATATGTATGAATATATTTTATACATATATTTATATTACATATATTTATATTATTTATTATACATATATATATATTTTACATATTTTGGTAATTATAATTTATTATTAGAGTAATACAATCACTACGAATTACAATTATTATTATATACGGGTCGGCTAGTTATTATATAAAATTAATCAGTTACATTTTTAAAATCTAAATCTATAAGTCTATCTTTTTTTTGTATAAACACTTTAATAACTTCTTCGTTAAAATTAGACATTTCAGCCAAATCATTTATACCATTTTGTACCCAATTATTATCACCAGATTTTCGAGAAAATAATATACAAGGAGAACAAAAAAGGCAATTTACTTTGGAACATCCGCATAACCATTCATGCTTTTTGTAAATTTCGTAATTAAAACTTCGTTTAAATTCTCTAGACTTAGGCCGTTTGCACACAGTCCGATAAAATCGGACGATATTATCGGTGATGGTGTCGGATACACCAATAATACGTTATTTTAAATCAATCGTTTACACACTAGTTCCGATCCGATAAAATATCTATTTTTAATTCACCGATATCGTTGTGCATGTCGGACAAACGACCAAAATCGGACGATACTTTATCGGTCCGGTTTTAATGATTACTAAAAATAAATGGTTCGTTTGCACACTCGTCGATATTATCGGAATAATGAAATAAAATGTAGTTTTAATTCCTCGCATGTATCTAATAGGAACTTTCAATATTTAAGTATTTTAAATTTTGAAAAATGAGTTACTTTCCCTACGACGTGCCAACTCTAATTGAATTAGTAGAATCAAGACCATGTCTTTGGGATAAAACAACAAATGAATATAAATACAGAAATCTTAAAAAAAAACAATGGGAAGAAGTGTACATGTTTTTTTTGCTAATAATTCACGTTTTTGTTTAATGTGTAATACCGCTAAGAGGGCAATTTTCTTTTTAGAATTCATTTTAAATTATTAAACACTAGAAATGGTAAGAAATGTCTGACAGATACAAGCCTAATAACCGTAATAATATGATTTTTATTCTTTTATCGGACCGATAATTTTGACTAATGTGCAAAATATATCCGATATTATTATCGTTACCGATTTTATCGTCCGATATTATCGGACTGTGTGCAAACAGCCTTAGACTTTGTTGTTTGAGAGATAATTAAATTAGGTGTTGGCCTACCTTCATTTTTTATTTCGATTTTTTTTTCCGGGGATAAAGTTGAAAAGCTGATATTTAATAAATATTCAACAGTAACCATAATGTTTGATAGGTTACAAACAAAAAAATTAAAACAATCTGTTTTTGTATTATACAATAATTATAGACTATAGTATTTATTTATAGTTGATTTGATGGCACACTGGCGGCAGTTGATGGACAATGTACAATGATGCGTTATCGTTTCGACGAATGACGCGATATCGCGATAACGCGACACAATAAAATAGGTTCGGTGCACAGATTAAATGTGCTCCGAATTGCCATGTATTACTAACCGACGTGTCGAGGCAGATAGCTAATTTTACACGGCTGCCCAGAGCACAAATTATTTGTGCTCCGTGATATTATTTAATCGTTTATAGACACATTTCTTAACATAAAAGTTACAAAAACTTTTTTTATTAATATATATTTTATATAAATTACAGACCATTTGAATAATAATCAATTACATTTTACTATAGAAATCTAATAATTTTTTATATAATTTGTTTGGGTGGTTCACGTGCTCCTGTGCACCATACCACGAGCCGCCACTGGTGTAATTACAAAAATAAACAAATCATATAGATTATGGGTATGTAGGTATTATTATTCATGTTTTTGTTTATAATATATAAATTAATAAAATAAATTATTTGTTTCAAATCATAAATGGATTGTATGGTCGCTGTATATAGAAATATTGACCAATCAGATAAAATTTATAATTTTTGTTAAAACTTACTCCATATAATACCTATCTAGTAATTAGCATTACGTGTTCTTATTTTACTTGAAACCAACATAATATCTTTATACATATACAATGAACATACACGGCAAACGGAAACAATGCAATACTATAACCGGATGAATATGAATAAAAAAACCACCTGCAGCAGTCATCATATACGATATGGTTAACCGATCAAAATAATTAACAGGCAAATACTTATACAGGGTAACAGCAACCCTCGGTTACGTTTCAAGAGTTTTTCAACGGACTTTTTCAATTTCAGTTGTAGTTAATTTCAATATTATGTATGTGTCTACTGAAGTACTGACTACTGTCTAGTGTCTATCATATTAAATTCTTTTATCTAGTTAATTTTGATTTGATGAGTATTATTTATGTATCATTTCTATAAGAACTCATACAACTTTAACAGCGAGAAAAATAAAAAAAGAAGAAGAAAACGAATTACATACATAATCTTTTTACTAGCACTCGTAATTGAATAAAACGGTTTAATATAAATTTAAGAGAAAATAGTTATACTTATTTAAGCGCTAATATCCGATATTTATAATTATATTTTCACTGACAAATATGGGATATTCTCACATACCTTTAGGAAGTCCGTCAACAATTCTTTTGAATGAATTTTGCAATGTGGCCAATTCGTCGATTACATATGTACATTCCGTGCAATTTTCTCTCATTATCTAAAAAATAAAACAATGGTTTTATTAAATTGAAAATCGATTTGATAAAATATATTTTTTTTAAATACTAAACTATGTTAACTAACTATACAAGCTGAAATTTTAGTAACTCTATGAAATAGAAAGCAAGTTAATATGCAATATGCCTATTATACATCCATATGGTTTGTAAAAAACATTTAACTGAGTCGATCTAATTTGTATTTTTTTTTGATATAAAAAAATAATATTGATAAATAATAATTGTAATAATGGTAAAAATACACTTATTAGTTTATAATTGTAACAACTAAAAAATAAAAATTAGGAGAATACTCTCTAATGTAAAAAAAAACACCTGCAGATCGTATATTAAATTGCTTTTAAACTTCATAAAAGGTCTATATTAATAATAAAAAGGATCAACTCTTTATATTTACATATTTAGTTGCGACATTAAAAAATATTTGGTGAACTTTAAGACGATGAGTATTATGTTACAAACATACATAAAATATTTATATGATATGCGTTTACGTAAAATTATATGTATTTTGTGCAATAAATTAAAAAATAGTTTTCAACACGCATTTAAACCGTTATAATATTTAGATATGTAAACAGGTTTTTTTTTTGATTTCTCGAAACAATTAAAAATATGCAAGTTTTTGCGGCGGACATTCGCTTGAGTAACTTCCGTTTTATTGAATTTTCGAGTTAATATTGTTCGTTGTTTTTTTTTTTTTTCGTACAGTCGTACTTATTTATATTATTATAATGTGCAATTTTTTTTACATTTTATTGCGGCCGCATACGTGCATATTATAAAAAAACCTAATATAATATACGTATAAAAGGTATAACCCATACACGACGAAACATATATTTTAATATACATGAGTGAATAATGAGTGAGAGCAGCAGGTCCGTCCCGCCGCCCGACATACGGAATAGGGCAGGTGTGACTAGCACCTGACGGCTGCCGTGCCGCCGACTGTGACCTCGTGCTCATGGGACGAAATGAATAAAAAAAATTAAAAACACAAACCACCTGCCGCCTCTGGGTAGCATGTGTGTTGAGTCGGGGGAGGGGTATATACATTTTTTTCTAACTTAATATAGCCGATAGGTCTGTCCAGCCGTATGCTTGGACCCGTTTTTTATTGACCACGGTGAATTACAAGCATAGGCACGTGTAATGCAGATACATTATAATGAACCTAATGGAAATCAATACTCTCGATGATTGCGAATAAGATACCGAAATCTATTTTAAAATAATTAAAACACCATGTGTAGAAGAATGAACTTGTGTATATATATATATATATATAGTGGTGTATTTAGGGGAGGATTCCCGGGTCTATAACTCCATTCTAGAAGAAAAAAATGTTAAAAAGTCATAAATGACTTGTTACTGAGGTACAGAAAAAGAAAACATTAATTTATATCATGTGGTTGTAAATAACTCTTCATTTGTATTTATAATAATAATAGAATAATATATTATTAATTCATATCTTGTATGTATTTTTATAATATTATAAATTCACTTATTTGTTAGAAAAATTGTACCCCCCCCCCCAGAAAAAAATTTGAAAATATGTCACTGTGTATATACGAGTATATATGTAAATACATTTCAAACAAATCTTAAACTGAATTCATATACTTACATGGGACATGACAATGGTTTTGCCGACTTGTTTTTCGTCATACTTAGCAATTTTTCTTTGAATAGCCGACATACCTTCGCCAAGCGCTTTGGTCGTCAATATTTGGTTGTTCTGAAAACATTAATTAGATTTGAGACTTTAATTCATTAAGTTAAATCAAAAAAATCGTTGGAAAGTATGATACACGTATATCGAGGAGATGTATTGTTACTCACTGGAAGCAATACATATAAAAGCAGAAAAGTCGGGGTAAGATTGCAATTATAGTTATGATTTGGAGGAATGAGTTGAAAGTAAAAGTCAAGGATTACGCTCAAGGAGCAAGGTTGCTAAAGACAACGAGGATAGGTATAGGCGAAGAGAAAGTACTGCGCATTGTCTAGAAAAACTAGAAAATATGAGGCAATTTTTAAAAAATATAGTTATTATATAATATAAAATTTTGTACATATTATGCACCAGGTACCTGGTCTTCCTTGATGATGGCCATCGATGCGTTCATCCGGGTCACGGCAAACTCAATTTTTGACATTTCCTTACGCATTTCCGGCAGGCATGCGTCCACCCGGTCGTCGAGGCTTTCCACGTTTTCCAGCAACTCTAGCAGCGACCCGTGCAAACGGTCCTGCGTGGAATCCTGTCGCGTCGCGTTGAATGCTAATGCCTCTTTGGTCGCGTTCAGATCAGCCTCCAGCCGGGACAGACGGTTCTCCTGTTTCACTGCCATACTTTCCCGGTACATTATGCTTTTCATGCGCTTCTCCAGTCGCACCATCCGGTGCGTCAAAGTCTTGCGAAACGACTCCAGCTGTTCCAGTTCCTGCGTCTCTCGGTCTGTTACAAAGGTAGTGATTACGTTTGTCTTAAGCTGATTGTCATCGCTCTTAAACGCCACTTGCTAACGAAAATATAACAAATACCGATATTATTGTATATACATTGCACATGTCAACTGAACACGTTCATGTGTGTATTTTATATTTATTTTCTTCATAATAAAAATAATAATAAATAATAATAATATAATTATTATTTTTCATAATAATTTTGTTCCAAATCGCAGTACTTACTTTATAAACGCTGTTGTATGCCGATTGTACGTCGTTTTCGTTGTTTTTCTAAAAAAAGAAAACAAATTAAAAACACGACTTTAATAGGGTTTTGTATACGTATGTTATTGCTATTATTATTAGGCATACGTGTAGTATACCTTATAGCAGTAAATACCAAACGCGTACGTGTGCTATAGTTAATAAACACCTTTCGATCTTTTCGATTAAAATCTCCGAAAACGCCATTTGGTCAATGCAAGCGCATGCAATATCTAAAGGTAGACGAACACCCGCGTACAAGCCATATGGTCTAAAGTAATTATTATTACAGCCTAAAGATAAAATTGGTCCTTGCGGTTGGTTTATAATCTTTTATAAAATATACCTTAATGTGACGCGAATTTTGAAATTATGATTGCTAACAATAGTTTACATTAATGGATGTGAGTGTATTTCACAAATGGCGCACATTATTTGAGAATTATATCTTAGGCTGGCATTCTTATAATATATATACATGTGTTAAAAATGTATATCTAACACTAAACTTGAATTTGATAAAAAATAAAAAAAATATAGTTTAAAATAGTTAATTTAGTTATAAATGTTTATTCTACATTCAATAGTCATTATTCTAGTTCAAATTGTATTAATTAAATAACATCGTTAACACTATAAAGGCATTGCAAGTTTATTTAAATAAACAATTTAAAGGTATTTCTTTTCACTTGGTAAGATTTTCAATTATAATATATATTACAATTGTATTGTTTTATAATAAATGTAATAACGTGTATCAGCAAATGATATAATGTTAAAAAAGTAATATGTACTTACTTTATCGATTGCATTTTGATGTTTAACAATGGTATCAATTTTTTTTTTTAACTCGGAATGTTTGGTCACCATATCTTTGACATTCTTCCTAACTGATAACAATTCTCCTTGCATTGTTTGCAAGTCTTTTCGATCAGAATCTAAATCCTTCTTCAAAGCTTGGAGATCGTTTTGTATAGCTACAGTTTTATGTATTTGTGCTGTTTCGTTAATTGCTGACCACACTGCTTGCATTTCCGATCTTAAGCTTCCGATCACCTCTTTTAACCATCCAACAGCTACTTTATCGCGGAACCCATCATTGCCAGAATGCGTCATCTTTAATTGCTCATCCCTAACAAGAATTATAGGTACTTAGTATTATAAAAATAATCACTGTAATTAATGTTAATTTTAAATTTAGTATAACTACTTAAAGTCCTATTTTAATAAGGCTTTCTTTATACAAATGTACAATAGTCATGTTACCCAAATTTTTAAAATAATTTTTGAGTAATTATATAGAAAAAAAGCCTATGAATATATTACATTTGTTCATACAATTGAGTATAATATTACTATGCATTTTAATTTTTACTGAGCATAACCCTAAAACGAATGTTTTCCTTAACACAACTTGTTCAACAATTAAAAATAAACACGCAAATATGTGAACATCCGGATGTGATGTATAATTTAGTTCCTTACTTAATCTTTAATTTAATGTAAATATTTAAAGTCTTATGTTTAACTACTTTAAAAAACAATTGTTGAAACTAAAAAGAAACAAATCTTATAGTAATCAGGGAAATTTTGTAAATACTATTTATATATATATATATATATTTTATATATCTATTAAACATTTTTAAATAATTAATTATTATATATATAAGTATATTTCGCAAGATGTTTTAATAGTGTAGTCTATATTTAATTTTTATGAATTTCAAACAGAATCTTAATAATAATATTATTTTATATTATATTAATTTAATACATAGCACAATATTAATAGAATAGTATACAGTGTGATCACAATTCAAGGTAACACTAAATATTTCAGGTAGATATTGTTGTATTGAATTGATACATTATATATTCACCATAAATAATTACCTAAATACTAAATATACAATTAATTTTAACTAAATTAATAGAATAATATATTTGATTAACACTTTTGTATATAATAAAATCATACTTAATTAAAATCAAATTATATTAGTGTATAACTATGGATGTAATTTGGACAATTTTTTTTATCAAACTTTATTTTATGTTGATTTACCGTATACTTAAATACTAAATATACTTAATCTGCATCATAATGTATTGTGATGAAAAATGCAGTGTATTTTTTAACTAGTTAACTAGGCGGCACAAATGTCGCCCAGTGATTATACTCTGTCAACAGTATTTTAAAAGATTGGGCGAAATAATGCGAAACAAACGTGTAATACTATAATCGTACTATGGTATTATACATTAAATATTTTGAGAAAAACATTTTTTTGTCGCCCAGCGAAAATTCCTTATAAAATGCACTGGGCAAGTGCTATCGAACACGTACAATTTGATTAATCCATTCATTTTTTTTTTATAGTTAATAGTTCAAAAAATTATATATATTCATTGATAAAATAATTCTTACAAATCTAAAGTGTTTTTTTCTATGATATTTTTCTAATTGAATTATAAAATATCAAAGGGGTACTACCTTGTTAAATTATTATAGGGAGGCAGTTAGCCCCTCTCCTCTCCAGTTTACGCTTATGTTAATAATAAATTATACAATACCAAATGAATATGAGATTACCTAGATTATAATAACCTAATAATTTAATTCCAAATATGAAATAATTATACAATGGATTAAATAAATATAGACTATATTTATTGAATACGTTATAAACTTAAATGTAAGAAAAAATTAATCAGTCTTAGAATTTTTTATCTAAATTACATATAACTTAAAATAAAGAAAACTTTATTATTATATTAGATATTTATATTTACCTATCATTTACCTTATCATTTTATATTATACTTTTTTGAATAATTTTCAATAAATTTTATTTATAACTTTTATGCACATCACTTTTTAAAATGATATATAAGCTATAATAAGATTTAAGACTAATATTGTAATACACCGTAAATAACTATCATTGTGTTTGCCAGTTAGTTGTTTCTAAAAATACTGATACTCCAGGCACGTGGAGTACTTTGACGGTTTCGTTGAGCATTTTGCTCCTAGCTTCATCATAACTCGTATTTAATCGGAACAATCAAGATCACTCACTGTTCACTTCAATTATTTAATAACAATCATTGACATCAACGACTGTGCTTACAACCATGTTTTTAAACATTACAGGTATTAGTTATTTTTAATTTATTAGTAATTATTACTTTTACAATGTCTTTATTTGCTGGGATTAAAATTATTATTTTTTTAATCTTGGTAACTTTTAGATAATAAATAAAATTCAAATTAATTGGGATAAATGTAAGTTGATTTATCAATTTTAACATTATATGTGTATTTGCTATTAAATTCGATTTGAGTTTTATAATTGATAATAATATTATAACAATAACTATCAATATTAATAAAAATAACCGGGAACATAAAGCAATTTATTGTTAATGATTATCCATTATAACATGATCTAATAATTGAATAAGGCTTAATTAATTGATTGAATATCCTAAATAAAAATTGTTTTCAACTTTTAGGACAAATAAAAAATAGATTAGGTAAGATAAATATTATAAAGTATATTTGATACCAAAACTTAATACTATCGATAATTTATATGTATTTCTTAATTTTATATTTAACATTACTTCGAATATGACTGTCAGTTAATTAATGTATTTTTAAAAGGACGGATAGCTTAAGATTAAACGAATAAATAACTAAATTTAGAATTTAAGTATCATGATTTTCATTTATTTTAATTTTGGTGTTTAATTATTGACTTAATATTCTTATTTATATTTTATTATTTAAGAATCTAACCTATGAATTGAATGGATGTTTTGTTGAAAATATATTTAAATATTTTACCTGAGTAATTGAATTTCTTCTTTCAACGCGTCTAAGTCAGTGCTTCCTTTAAGAGATTCGTAAAGCGATTTTTCCAACTGCTGGTAGTCTTGTTGTCTCTTTTCTATTAGCAAATTTAATTGAGTTTTTATGTTTCTTAAATCATCTTGATTGAGGTTCGTTTGGGCCCCAGCGGCACCCATGAACGTACATATGGACACAAATATCGGCAACAGAAACATCATTGTCCTATTACTTGAACACTTCAATTCAAACTGAGAACACTAACGAGTGCGTTAAAATTCGTCCCTGTATACATGGCTGTACGCCGGGCCAAGAGCAGATGGTACGAGTCTTGTGATCAGGTTGCGCATGCGTAAAGCGAATCTGGTTTTTTTTACACCAACATATTTTTCATTACATTGCACAAACACGAACGCTGTAAAAATGAGATTAACGTAATGAAAAAAAATTAAAAGAATTGTTATTAAAGTGGATATTTATTCGGAAATTATTACAGCGTTTAATCAATAAAAATAAAATCCAGTTGTGCAGGTGTTTAATAAGCTTAGGCACGTGGATGTGGATGTGGATCTATTGATTCTCTGAATTAAGTATAATGAACGCAGTGGCGGCGACGCACTTCCTAATTATGTATCATCGGATACTGCGGAATCAAATACTATTTTTTACTAGCAACTCACGATCGTGTTTGAATTAAATAATTGCTACTTATATTTTATAGTAGAAACCACTAGGCTATGTATTAACGAGTATTGATGAGTTCGGTTGATGGATTGATATAAATATGTATTTATGTAGTTCTTTGTTCTGTTATAACTCGTTTGAAAATTATTATGTATTTATTATTTCATATAGTTGATTAGAAATACTAGTAAAAATTATAATAGGCATTTATATTTGTATTATTATTGTAACAATATACAGCACCGGATTGAAAGTAGATCGAGCATTCATCAACTCAGCCTATTTTCATCGGCTCAAAAAACCGTCAAACATTTTTTTCTTAGTTATAATTAAATTACGAATCAATTAATTATAATAAAATTAATGCATGTATAATTTGACTCGTTAAATATTACATTTTATTTAAATGTGAATTTGTGTTACAATTTTCTTTCATGGTTAAAAAACGCGAAGCATAATTTGTTCACATGTTCTAGTTCTTAAGAATTAAACACACACACACACACACACACACACATATATATATAAATATATTCTTATTGTATTCAACCCTATGGTTGGTTTCGCAGTCAGACATGCGCTTTCCACTCAACTATATATATTCTAAACCATTATTTTTAATGAGTTATAAAATATTTAACACAGTTTTATTTACTTGACATGTATAAGTTAGTACTGAAATGTTTTTAAACACATACCAATGTACCATGTAAATATAAATTGGTTCATATTTTATAAACGCAAAGAACCTACATTTTAGGTGAGCTTAAGCCCGCTCTATTAATTTTTTCATAATTCCATATAAATAATTTTATACTTAATTTGAACTGTTTGGCAGTAATTTGGGGATCTAAGCCCTCAACCTTCCTTATTTGCGCCAATGCATATTGTTATTACGATCAACTGAGTAAATTATTTAGATTTCAAAAATATTAATATTAGTAAACATTGAAATATCGAAACATCTTTGTTAATTATGTCAAATTAATAAAATAAAAAAAAGATTCATGATTTTCGTATTCAAATATAATTTTTTTTTTTTTTGTCTATATTATGTTTTATTCAATCTGTTTCAGAGAGAACAAAAATAATAATTTATGATATAGAATAAGCTAAAATAAAAATAAAATAACAGATTAGACAGATTATAGAGGCCTCCCATTGGAGGTACTACAAATATAATTTTAAAATGAAATAAATCATTAGGATTAATTTATAAAGACTATATTTTCATGGGTTAATTTTCTTATGTATTTTAAAATACTGTTATTTTTTATATTACTCTAAATATTATATAAACAGATTTTATGAAATATAATTTCTAGTAATTTTTGTTGCATTTCGCTTTTACTAACGTCTTAATATGTTATAGATGTTGAATTATTTATTATATGAACATACCTATCATATAATAATAATGTTTACAGTGGCGTATTTACGGGGGGGGGGGGGGTCCAGGGGTACTGAACCCCACCAGAACCTCTCCAAAAAATAAAAAATTAACAACAATTTTTACATATTTGCAGAATTGGCTATGTTAAACATTCACAGGGAATTTGAAATTACTGTTGATGAAGTGATAGAGGAGTTAGCCAAAAAAATCGAGACAACTGGAATTTATTTTATAACAATACTTTATAATATATAATGCTAAATACAATATATAGGTACATATATATAATATTACATAAGACTTTACGATTATTACATTATATATTTAGTTCAACTTCCTCCAAAAACTGCATAAGGACGTAACTATAATATAATATATATAATATATAGTTTATATTAATTATGTATAAACTGTGGACCCCCCAGAAAAAATTGAAAATACGCCACTGAATGTTTATGTTTAACAATGCGTGTAAAACTGTTCATTCAAGATCTGCATACATTATTTGTTTCGTGATCTCCGATAATACTTAAATTGTCAACGCTTCAGATATGAGTTGCAAATTTACCTTAACCAATTTACTATGAAAAGTTAAAGTTAGTTTTTTGTCGGTAAGCATATTATAATACAATAAAATATTATTCAATATAATTCTTAGTCATATTAATTTGAATACGTTATTATTCAGTCGTATGCACAAATCGAAAATCATATTTATGATTTATGAACAACGTATCTATCAGTCTACATATTGAAATCACCAATGTTTAAACTACGTAATAATATTTTAGACGACTAATTTTATATTTTTTCTCAGTACATATTTAGATAATAAAATAGAAATAATTACTAATGAATACAATTTACGATTACACACAATTGCAGAAGCTGCATGTACTCCAATTGAAGCGATTAGTAAAATGGGACGAAATATATATTAGTACAGAATATTATGCATTTTGTTACTGTTTTGATACTCACATGATTGTATATGAAGATTGATTGGTACATCATAAATCTACATATTAAATTAGTTATCAATTAGAAAAAAAAAAATCTACTAGTCATAATAAATGTAGAACAACATGGAAACGAAACTGGATTATTACCACGAAACTTCTCCTTTTTATTTTTTGGAACTGTCAACATTTTTACTCTATTCTAATTTTATAAAAATCTTTAAGTTATTTCTCCGATTACATATTGGATTTATTAATAAGTATTATTTTTGTACCATGACATCCACTTGTTACGTAATCATGTGTTCAATTATTATATTATTCATGATAGAGTAATGAATATCATATTTTCGTTTCAATATAGTTAATGGTCACTTTGATTAGCAATCGTGCCACGTTTAATGATTTCGTAAATCCAGTAATAATTATTATTCATTAATAATTTATTATTGATTATAGATAATTAACAAAAATAAAATATCACTAAATTTTGTTCAGTTCGAAAAAACTTCTCTCATTGAGATATATGTTTACAATTATATTTTGTGTATCATTCTATAGACATTATTTCACAAATCAATTTAAATGGGTAAAAGTCCTCATACTATATATTATATTTAATATTTACTATTATATAATATTAATATTATACATGTGTATAATTGATGAATCAAAATTTATATTTTGTTTTTTATCAAATGTGAAGTGATGATGAATGAAGATATGCAGTGAGAGTGAGTGGTTAACCATTATTTAAACCTCATTGTAGAGTAAATTATATTAAAATTCAAATTTAGTAAAATTACATACGGAATATTCTCGAGTTTCAAAGTGGGTCTTAAATAAGATAAAGCGATTGCAAGCTGCTGATATTTTTGAAATTATAGGTAAACGCGGTATGCAGCTGCTTGGCTCGTGCCAGATGTATTGTACAGCTGGGATATCCCGAAAACGAAAACAACTGTCCGCTTAGATGTAACACACCTGCTAACAAGAGACCATATCATAGACTCTTAGCAGGACATATGTCCTGAAACGAAAAGTTAACTACCTAAGAAATAAAAATTCTCTTTGTAGTAAAAACACATAATTTATTTTGATCCAAATAAAGTGCATACAGCTACAAAATGTATACATTATAATAAAAATTAAAACAGGAACATTTTACACAACGATAAAATACAATATAAAAATGTTATAAATGAATAAATAATTATTGAGCTATATATCAACATAAATCTAATTAAAAAAAAAAAATCAATGATCATGTAAATTAAAACAAATAATTATGGAATTTAAAATACATAACAAAAAAATATTTAGCTTAAAAATTATTTTAATTAACCCTCTGTGTGATTTAGTTGCTTAGAATATCTAATACGTAAGTCTTCTATGAACTCGTTTTTTAGTATTTTCAAACATCTGTAACAGTAAAATATTTTTAAGTTGAAGATCAGTTTTTAGACTAATTTTAACAGTAGATAAACTAGACTAACTAAAGAAGACATTTTTTAAATATACCTAATTAATTTATGGTTTTAATATAATTTGATTTATTTTATAAGAAATTAAGAACTAACCTTCTGTATTGAGACGATCCACGAAATTTAGCAATGTCAAAACTCGGCGCGTGAGGCATATGAATTATAAATGCATTTGGAAGTACAATAAACGTATATCCTCTAGCCTCAAGTTCCATGATATGTGACACTTTGTTCCATCCAAAACCAACAAATCTAGTATCATATTTTGGAACATCTCTGCGTACTACTACGTAAGGTTCATAATCTGGTTCCCACGACACCTACAAATTACCATATTTATTATGAGTTATACACATTTTACAGTACGTTAAGTATTATTTTAATAATTTCTTTCATAAATTTAAAACAAATTATATACAACTATTACTTGTTTCCTTTGTAAAAAGTATGACTTTTAAAATCATACTTATTTAAAATTGAATATTTAGAAATACTTTTTATAATATGTATAAAAGAAATATAATTAAAAAATAATTGAATCGATATCAAGTAACCATCAATGATATATTAAACAGTCGAAATAAAATGTTATAGTTTTAATTTTAAAATTAATTATTAAATAAAATACTAATGATATATTTGATTCAAGTTAATAACATAATATAATATACAAGTATAATTTTAATTGTCTATAACCTTATAAGGAACAGTAGATCCTTTCCATTTTGCGTAATTTGTAGCAGCATGTCCTTTTGGCCACACATGATACCTAAACGAAAATAAAGCTCCATCATCTAACATTCTCAATATATCAGCTTTTGTTTGCGGAAATGCAGTTCGATATCTTTGGGTTTCAAAGGCAGGCACAACTAGCGCCTAAAAATGAAAATATAATTTTATCAATCATGAGCTTGTATTAGATCTCATTATAAAATTACCTTATCGGAAGACTTAATATTCATTATAAAAATATATTTTTTCAAATACGAGTACAGACCACTCATCGGCAAAAAATCTATGTCGGATAAGAACACATAGGGTGTTACAACATTTTCTAAAGCTACATTCCGCAGTAAATTTATGGGGTAAAAATCCTGTATAAAATACACACAAATATTATAATCACGATTTTCAGAAATTATCCATAATTTTTAAATGTATATTATATGCGAGTTTATATGTATCGAACCTCTTCTTTATAAACTACATGGTATCCTATATTTTTTCGATTCTTGAGTACTTCAGAATTTTGAGCATAGCTCAAAAACTGTTGAGCCTCAGCATCAGACATATAGAGACTTAAACTTATTGGGCCTGCGAGAAACAACATATTGATTAATTCTTTTTTTAACTTTATACTTAGTAGCATAGAAAACTCGTATGTATTAGTGGTATTACCATCCCAATATTCGCACAACATTTCAACCATCTGGAGTCTATCCATAGAAAGTTGAGCAACAAGTGTTATGTCACATTCGTCTGGAGAAGCTTGATATTCGAATTCTAAAAAATACAAATGAGTTCTTAGACTGGTAGTGCCTGCTCTTCTGAACTCATAACAAAGATCATCTTCACTTATCTAAGCAAATATTAAATTAGTTAATTTAAATGATAGAAATGGTATTTTAAGGTTAAATTTTACAACACAGGTTTGATTTGTGAATTTCACAAAAAATATACTACCTATTATAAATTTAATATTTTATAAAATTCAACTTACTCCTGAAACATCTTGAACAGTGGAAGAATAGTTACAACCAAAAAGTTCTCTTTGTAGTAAATTTCCATCATATTCTAAGAATGTAAGGTATAAATTTCGAAAAAATTCCACGTGTTTATTTTTAACTTTAAGCTTTTTTGGTGAATTCCAGTGAATTATCTAAAATTAAAGTATTTTCTTAAAAATAATATTAATAAACAGCGAAACTCCTAAGTCAGGTAAGGTCTTATGGTTAAGTCAGATACAGGGACGGGTCAATTATATTGCTGTATTAGACTTTTAAACTTGAAACTTTATGTTTGGATAAGCGAGACTCTACTGCAGTGGTTTTCAACATGATGGTTGCGAATCAGGTTTGAGCATGCCAAAAAAAATGGATCCATATTATTTAAAAAAAAAACAATGTAAATTACTTATTTTGTAAAATTTTTAAGTGTACATTAATCAAAATTATTTATCATGTAAATATTTTATCGATAATTAAATCAAATTTTAATGAATAAAATAACATTTTTTTTGAAGGGGTCGATTACAAAAAAATAAAAAATGGGGGGGTTGCGATCTGAAAAAGGTTGAAAACCACTGCTCTACTGTAAAATATACATTCATATCAGCATATAATTCTCAATTTTTATAACTTTTTTTTGTTTTCTTTATTCTAGCCCGTTTGATTTGAATGTTCTATAAATTGGCAATTTAATTACTTTGGGTTTCCCATCCTTGATTTATAACATTTTTGGTTTATTTATCCAGTGAAAATTTTTCTAATAAGCACTAGTACAATAATGAATTACAAATATTTTTAAATTATAATATATGTAATTAATAATTATAATTTAATTTAATATAAATAACATAATATTAAAAAAATATTATTAATCGAAACATAACCCGACATAAAAGTTATTTTTATATTGTAAAAATATTTTTTTATCTTATACATGTGAAATAAAACAAAATAAATGTTATTTTTTTCAAATCATGTAAGTTATTAAATAGCACTATTTAATTATATTAAAGACGTAGCTTATGTAAATTAGTAAAAATTCGTATTAAATACGTTATAAAACGTTTATAATTGGAAGTTAAAATAAATAATTATTAACCTAAATCATTAAAATAAATTATGTTTACCTAATATAAGTGTAATATAATAAGTTATAGAAAAAATAACTTGTATTAGCGCTTATTATAACTTTATAAATTAATTAAATAAAATCCTGATATTTTTCATTAGTAAAATTATTTTTAGAAATTAAAATTGTTATTTATTTTGATTCTTGTTTTATTTTGAAGTTTATTGTTCATAGACATTGAATTTAAATACATTCTTTGTTTTGCTTAAACTTTAAAATTAAAATACAAATTCACCAGAAAGATACAAACCTTTAACTCAACCACTTCGGCATAACATAGTTCGCTTCTTGTATTGTCGCTGAGTTGAACATTCCATTGGCATGGCATTGGATACAAAAGTTCCGGTCGTTCTTTAATAATCGTGTTAAAAATGTCTTGATCGGCTAGACTAGTCCAGTAATGTGTCACTAGTGTTTTTACTGCAACCGATCTCCATAATCCGTTCCAGTCAATTAAACGTAATTTCCGTAAGTCCATCAGTATCACACCCGTGTTATAACTAAATGCACATGCATTCAAGCATATTATTTTGTATTTATATTTTATTACATATAGGTATTAGTTTGATTTTTTTTAATTAAATTTATTAACTTACCCACGACCGAGCGCAGGCCATGGTTTATGTTTTTTCCATAACTTTCCAAGATACCAATCACTTTGATTTTCAACCAATCCTAATGCCTAAAAAAAAATTAATGATTTTAAATTATTTAAATAACCATCCACAAAATTTGAAAATAAATATTTTATTAATTTAAAACTACCAATTAGACCAATAAATTATATGAATAATATATATTATTTACAAGTATATATTTACTAAATAATTATAATTCCTAATTAAAAAGTAATTAGAAATCAAAATTGTATTAAATATATAAATATTTATATACGTACTTGTCTTTTTTTAAATCTTCTTAACATTGACCATAACTGAGCAATATCTGTTGCAAAAGTTATGTCCGTATCTAGAACTAGGACTTGTTTTAAAGTATCCGGAAATACTTGTGTTAAACATAATTTCATTAGACCATAAACTCCAGAATAATGTTTATTGTTTATCCAAGATACATCAGTTACTATTTTTTCAGCTGGATAAAATTGTATTTCAACTGAAAAAATGTTATTTTTAAAATTAGATTGAACTGTATATTAATAATTATAATATTCGTAAAATGAACATACGTTGTGGTATTTTCCAAGTATCAAACAAAGTTTTTAAAATTTTTTTCGATATCTCATCTACGATAAAATGAAACCTCAGTGGATTTTTTCGATAAAACAATATTGATTTAATTAACGTCACTACTGAACGTGTTGAATTATAACCAGCGCACACTATTCCGACTTCAATCACTTCGCATTTATCTATTATACCTATTGTCTAGTAAATAATAATATAATCTCTGTATTAGTGTTAATATTTAGTAAACATATTAAATAAATATTTAAATCAAAAATATACTTTTTGGGAAGAACAAGGTGCAGGAGTTTCTGGTAATATTTGAGGCGAATCAGTTGGTGAAACAGGAAATAGGGATGTCTTCATCGCAGCTAATAAATGATTTTGAGTCATACTAAGCTGTCTCCTTAATAATCTTAACTCTTTTTCCATTGCTTCAGACGTCGATTCATATTCTCTAACTTTGATAACTTTAAAATTACCGCTCTCCACAAAAGCTAAAGGAACTAAAAATATATTTTACTTTAATAATGATTGTTACATTTTATCAAATTGTGAGTACCTCTTTGATTTAATATGCCATAATATATTATTAAACAAGCAAATAATGATCCAAGTAAAAAACTAGTCAGCCAGTGTCTAACCAAGGCGGTACCAATAGCACACAAACCATTTCGTCCCCTTCGTCGAGCTATTGCGATAGCCACAATAGACAATTATTGAAGTATTTTTATTGCTATAATAAATCTGAAAATATAATATAACTTAAGATTAGTTTTTAATGTTTATTAAAACAGACAGTGATGTGATACTGCTTATATATATAAATACAATAGTACAAAAATATTCTAGGTATAAAAATATCGGTTTAACTATAGAACATTACATATCTGTATATAATGTAACTCGATTTTATGGGCAGAAATTAAAATACAAGGTATAGCATACATTATGTATTTTGAATGAACATTTTTAAAATAGAAACTAATGTAGGTATATCACATTATATGATCATGGAATAATAATTAATTGTTTTTGGTTTTATCAAGTTTTTCACGTTTTAAAAGATACATAAAGATACATACATAGTAGGTACATGAGTGTTGAGTGCTTCGGTAAGAATGTGTTTGAATAAATACCAAAATTTTTGTAGTAATATAAATAATTTTATTTATTAGAAGATAGTCAAACTAAATATAGAAAATGTAAATTACTGTAATCGGGTCAAAAGTTGTCTATGACCCTTAAAAATTGTATAATTTCTTTAGTCTATGGTCTCTCTTTTTTATGAGTATCATGTAATTCGGAAAAACATTGAAGACTAAAAACATTATTTCACAACATAATGTATTCAATATCTACATGTACGTAATATGACATATGTTTTAATCAGCATAGAATGTTTTGATAGTAATAAATATAATTTTATGGTAAGAATGTTTAAAATAAAAATGAAATGTGATTTATTTAAAGCACACATAAATTATAAAAATTTAAAATAACAAGCGATGAATAAGTTATACTTACTATTAAGACACGAAATCCGTAAATTAACATTTCATTATTGACTTAAATCTATATATGGATCGTTATTTAAAGAAAAATTAATAACTATTGTTCTACAGGTAAAAAATATACTTTTATAATAGTATTAGTGCATGAAATCTTGTTTATTGTTTTTATACCTATAAAAAATTAATGCTAATACACTTTTTTTGGGTAAAAGGTCAAAGTTTGTTTCAAAAGTTTAATATCTTCAATTCTGAAACTTTTTATGAATTTAAAACTAGATACTATATACAGATATATTATATACATAAGAAGGATTTTTTTTAATTTTCCTATAGTTTTTGAAATTTTTCAAAAATAAACTTTATTATTAATAATTTTAATTTCTACTTAAATATTTTGCTTTAGTTTGAGATCTTTATTTTATTAATTTGCAGTTTTTATTTCAAAGCTTGAAAAATTAGTACCTATGAAGATAATAATTATTCTTATATTATTCAGGGCCGTATTGAACAAATTTGGCCCACCGTGTTTCCGTACGTTACCAGTCCACTTACAAACTGACGGCCCTTAGTCTAATTTCTTTTTAATCACATATTTCAAAATGCGCACTAATCTTTTCTAATTAATATTTAGTACAAACACTACGAAAAGCACCATGTTATATTATATAAGTTAATGACATTTTTTAAAGGTTGTTAAAATATAATAATTTCAGCCAGTTTAAGTTTATAATGATTCTATACATGTGTATTTGATTTCCCCAAATGTATTTTCATAATAGCAACCTGCAGAATATAATACATAAATACACGTACATAAATTATCCGACATGGTAAAATAAATACCCAATGGGCCATAATAATACATAATAATATGTTTATTGTAAAGCGAAATAAATTGGAATGTTAAAAGATTAGCATATTCACATGTAGGTAACATATTATATAACATTGAATGTGCAAACGCTAACTGAAAACACATCTTTGGGTAGAGACCTGCAATTTGAATTCTGTTTTTTAAATGGTTTTTATTACATAAGAATACACATTTTTATAATCTTCGAATTTGTTTAACTTAATTTGACAGGTCCATTTGCATTAAAATTGTTTTTCTTAAATGGCAACCACATTTTTTAACCACTAATTATTTTTCACCTAATTTTTTAATGCATTTTGGTAGATTAACCAACTTCCTAAGTCCGAAATTGACCAAGTTACAGTAGTTTAAAAAAACAACGGTAAAATGCGAGAAATTTTCAGTATTTTTTCTGTAATTCTGAAAATAATTGTTCTAGGGTTATTCAGACTTGACATTTTTACTCCAATTTAATAATGTGAGATTTACACGTCGCTATAATTTTAATTACTGTTAATTTTCTGTGTAAAAATTATAACTTTTAGTATAAAAACTATAAATAAGTATGTTATTTATTTTATTAGATTAAATCTGTTGGATGTATTGAAATGAATGGAATGTTTTAATAATTAATAGAAAATGTAATTCTTATTTGAGTTATAAGTTTATTGAATTATTAAATAATTTAACGTATAAATTTTTCAAATAGTTGTCTAAACCTATGCTATATCAGCAGCTCCTCATGATTTGAACGACCAAAAATTGTCACGGCCCACCGAGTTTCGTAGTGTCCGAATTGGTTCCAAAACGTCCGAATTAGTTCCCGGGTCAAAATATTTTCTTTTTTCCTTCCCATTTTATACAGACTTAGGACTGTATGTAAATATAAAATTGATTTTTTTTCACTTTAATTTGTATAATGATATTTTTATAATAATATAATAAACATAATATTAATTCGTCAATTTATATTTAAGTATTATTCTTATTATTTTTTGTATTATTGAGGTAAAAATTTATAACAAACATTTTTTATAAACTCTAATCGATTTATTTCATTATTGTTATATTTCTCTATTTTTGTTTTGATATACGTTTCTTTATTTTTAGATTTAACATTTTGTTTTTTTTGTCAGTACTTCGTAATTTTACATAAGTTTCAATTTAAATTTCTTTTAATACGTCCATGAATTGGAAAATATTTGGATGTGCGGAATAAAAGCAACTGTTGAACTTGCTGTGAAATGATTCACAACAATTAATTGTTCGTTCTATACTACTGGTATATTCAGCCCACATTAATGGTGGAAATAAACTAATTTTCAATACAATTTTCTAATATGCAATCAAAGAATTCTTCAAGTTTTCCATTAATCGGTTTTAATGACATCAAATCATTAGTAAAGCAATCGTTAACTTCTTCGGGTGATAACAAAGATAAGCCAAAAAACAATTTTAATGTTTGTCTTATTTCAGAATCATTATTTTTAAATTAATTTGAAAGCCCTAATTGTTGTATCTTCCTCCACCATGATTGACCCAAGTGAAACCGACAACCTTTTAATTGGGCTAAAGGCCATACTACGGAGATCGCTACATGAATGGCTCTTTCAAAATCCACATATATTTCATCCGGGCATAAACAATTTTGAATTAAACGGAAAGCTTTTGTATACGTATCACTCGTTTTATTTGGAAGTAAAAAGAAAACTAGAGGAACATAGTAATTATTTTTTACACCGTAAATTGAAAAAGTTGGCAAAAAAGCTTTGATCAGCTTTTAAAAGTACCATCAATAAATACAGATTTTATTTGACGCAATACTTCCAAATTGTTATCACATGAAAAACCAATAATATTGGTTTCAGCACTGTTAATAAATAAAAAATTTTCTCCACAATTAGTTATTAAATTATAATTATTTAAGATATTATGAATCTTGCTCAATGTTTTGGGTAACTTGGGTACTGTACTACATCAACTAGTATGTATATTTTTTCTAATTCTACGTACATCTTGAGAATCTATGGTTTCAATATCGGATTTAGCCAACTCACAACGAATAATTTTTGCTGGCTGCTCATGTAATGCATCTTGAGCTTTACGTTTTGAAATGTTGCTTAATTTCTATCTGTTAAGTTTTTTTTCGTCGTCTTTTTCATGGTTATGTATTATATTTTTATCAACAATTGCATTTAAATTATTTGTTTTCAAATACGACTTACATGCTCTTTTTCCACATGTCCAACGGTCAATGTCGTCTGCCAACCTTTTTTGAAACCCAAATTTATGACCTTCAAATACAATAAGTTTTTTATTTTTTTCACTGTACATAAAGTCCATATTCGAAAAGATTTAAACACAAATGCAATCACAAATACAAACACTCTGCGGTTATGACGGCGGATTACTGAATGCCGTACTGACTTATAAGTACGACTAGATATCCGTCAATATCGATAATATAACGCCCGTTTTATCACGATTTTTATCTAAATGACAATTTATTTCATTATATCCATTCCAAAATTCGTACTTATCAATCTACCTTGGTACTTATAAAGAAGGGAAATTTCAAAATGTTAGTAAAATAATAATATTAAATAATAAATATAATTAGATTGGATTTCGCCTTTTTCGAAAGTATTTATTGGGAACCAATTCGGATGTGTGTTTCCTGGAATATCGGGAACCAATTCGGATGCAGCCCCGAGTTTTGCTCGGTAAGTCGCCGGGTCAATCCGGCAACGATATTATTTGTAACGTGACTATTCGATATTCCGAATACATTATAGCAGCCGTAACATATTCTAACGATTTGACAAACCATACTGGATAGTCATAACAATAATATCAAATAGTTTGAATTAGGTGCTATAAAATATACTGATTTTTAATGCATGAGTCATGACTAGAGATTTATATTTTCTTCAAATTATTAAAATATTATGTTTTTATATCGTTTAAAATAGGAAATATATTCTCTTCATATTCTTTTATAATACCAGACATATGATGTTCTATGTATGTCCTTAAAAATATAAATGCCTTTTCAATATTTTTTAAAATAGAAAAAAATTATTAAAATGATTCTGTTTACATTTATAATTTATTAAATATTATTCTTAATTTGATTTACAATGATTTAAAAGAAAAATCTGTTTTAATACCTATTTTAACCGTATGTGGATTACCCATTATATCTAGTGTTTCATTTTCATTACAATCTAGAAGAATGTAAAAATAACTCGCATTGTGAATATTGTATTTATTGATCAATATTATCAAAATGCCCATATACGTAATACATGCATGGATGTATAAACAAATAATATATAATATAATCATTGATTAATTTAAAAATATTTTTAAAATAATAATAACTAAAAATATTCTCAAATATTCTTTAACCCTTAAAGTATGCTTTTTTATGAAAAATAATTCTTTTTTCCTATGAATTCTGTGATTCATGAATCGTAAAGATATTTTACTCCAAGATTCGAACTGGTTAAATTGTTGAGTGGAGGGTTACTACCGCCGATAACGACAATGTATTTAAAAGTAACGCTAGACGCAGCACTTGACGGGAAAAAAATCAATTATTATGGTATAAAACATACACTCTTAGAATGTAATTAAATCACTCTAGAATGATTTAGAGTAAAAATACCTATTACCAAAATTAAAGTTTATAATATTTTCTAGGGCATCTCATCGGGTATTTTCAATATTTTATTTAGTCTGTTTGATATAGCTTTTATAAAATACGATTATTTTCTATTTTTTAAATTTAAATTTTTCTAAAACCCCGATGAGATGCAAAATATTGTTTTATTTAATTTTAATAATAGGTCTCTTCACTCTAAAACCACTCGGGAACAAGAAATTTTTAATTAACGTGAACATGTTTTTGATATTGAAAAATGGCAGTGCAATAAATAAATACTAAGAATAAATATGTAAAATCATATAATTCGAACTCTAGTCATGACTCATGACTATACTATCAATGGATTTACAATTAATGTTTTAAAAATGTGTGATTTATATTTGATGCATGTGTATGTATATATCATGAAATTATTAATAACGCTATAACTCATATAACACAAATAATATTAAGTCTTGTTTTGAGGAGTCCAACCTCCTATATATTTTCTAAATAATCGTGTCAATATTTTTCCAACGTTATCAATTGTGTAATATATTATTAATTTAAATATAATAAATTTATTAATAAAATAATTTATGAAAATAATAATAATCATTCCAGTACTCTGGTAGTATCTACTAAACATTATTAGATATATCAATATCAAAAAAATGTGGTAACACTGAATAAAAAAAACCCGCTAAATCAAGTAGGCAAGTAACTGGTAGGTATAGAAGTTATTTGCTTTTTTACGAAATAGAACGTTCGTTTATTTTAAATTAATCGAAAATAACTATCATAGACAAAACCGTCCGTATAAAAATCTTTAAACCTTTACGTATTTTAACATATATAGGAACATATGTAGTACTTAATAGATATAAGGACAAATGAAATGAAATTGAAGAATATTAAATTTATTATCATTGCCTGATGGCCCTAGACGATTATGAAATGTACAGGAAATGAGTATATGTGTACCGCATACGTACGACAAGCGAAGCACGTGCAACAACAATAGTATCCGTGTAATGATCGTACAACTGACTGGAAAATAAAAAACAACTTAAAATAACAGTCGGCGTTTGTGTTACTTACCGTTCAAAACGTTCGCTGTCCGAGAACAGTATTGTCATGAATATTCGGAACAGCTTAAAAACGATCGGATCCTAACGCACCATCGGTCACGCAAAGGACTCGAAGTTTTCGGTGTTCGCGTCGGAAAAACTCGGATCGGAACCACGCGCGGTACTGTTATATTTGTCATGCACGGCAGATCGGACGTTTATTCAATTCGAGACCTTGGTACAACAACAACAACAACAACTGTACAGGAAACATATGCAGCGAACCGCAGGAAGTGCAAGGGAACACTAAAACAGTATTTAAGTGTACGTATACATATATGAATATGTGTGCATGAGTGTGTGCCGTTTACGCGGCCGTGGGTAAACACAGACACACACACACGCGCGCGCGCGCGCGGAACGCATACACACTCACACACCTGTTCGTGAAATCGATAATATCCGACGGACGGGATCGATGTTTGGAGTTTTTCTCGCGGACCCCGACCGTTTCGACCGCAAACCTGCGAACGGACCGGGGCCGGTGAAAAACCACCCGGTACAAGTGCGGTTTTTTCGAGGAAAATCGCACAGCATTCAGTGCCGCCCGCCCACGATCTCCACTCGAGAAGAACGCGCGCGCGAACGGGTCGTCGTCATCGCCGTCGCTGCCGCTTCGGATGGGTAGTGACCGGTGGGGAACACACGGTCAATATTTTATCGGCACTCCGGGGCTGGTGCTGCCATCTAACCGGAGATGGCGGCAAAACACGTTTCATTCTGGAACACCGTTTATAGTTCAAAGTTCCTATACTGTATACGGTGAATAACTCCCCTCCCCCTTCATAAATGTTTAGCAAAAATTTATTACTTATGAGATGTAATTTTTTGGTCTATAATAACGAAAAACTAAAAATGTTAGTACCTTTATGTATTGTATTCAGGTACGAAAAAAATGTCCATCATAATAAGATAAACAGCTTAAATTTTAAAATATCTTAGTAATATGGTTCTATGTAATTCCATTGATTATAAATATTAAATAATACAGATGAACATTACCTATCTTATGTAGGTACTTATGGGTATTTGAGTATTTCCAAGGAAATGTAAATACGTATCATATGATAGTGTGATGGTGTAATTATTATCATTAATGAAGCTCTGTAATACCACCTGAATCGAACGGCTTGATGCTGTAATTATATTCAAAAAACTTATTATGCTAACATTTTTTACAATAGAAAAAATACAAAAATACGATAATAGAAAAGCATCAAGAAACGTTTTTACAATACAATAAACTCTCACAACTGGAAATTTTATTCTTGCAATGGTCTTGATTAAAGATATATTTTTAACATAAATTGTTGTGATGAGTTACTAAAGTGTAACAATACTTGAAAATTGGTAAATTACGTTGTCCGTTCTAATTGCCAGTATAGAACGGAGTTTTTCTATACCGAAAAGTTTGAAATTATATTTGAGGAATTATACGGGGAAAAATCGACTAAATGGATGGCTCATATAATATATATGATATAAATATATATATATATCTTCTGTATATATAAAATGACTTGTCTTGGGTGATTCATCATTGTCTAGCCGGAACCTCTGAAGCTATGATTATACAATTTAGCTAGTAGTTTTGTTTCATGATATACTGACTCCCTAAGAATGTATTTCCCAAAATTAAACTCCTAAAAGGGTTATAAGGTGTATAATATTGGAAATATAATTTCTTGGCCATATTTTCAGAAAGAGGGTTATAGAGAGTTTAAGCGATAACGATAAATTTGGTAGGATTTTTTGAATATTGAACATTTTCCGCTGAAGATGTACCATGTATCTTAGTCTTATAATATAGAGTAAGTTGTAATTTAATAGGCTACATTTTATTTCAACATTTCTCCGATTCCAATTTATTTTACAATTTGTATTCGAAATACTAAAATATATTAATTTTTTGATAATTTCTGGTTGTTACAATACATGGACAACTCAGGGACAAAACATCTAAAAATAAACTTATAGAAAAACTGATGATCAAAAAAAATAATACGTAACACAAAAAACAACATACCTACGGACAAAGTCGGGTTATTCAGCTAGTATATATATATATATATATATATATGTTACCGACAATATGGATAATTCAGGTATTTTATAAAATACCTAGGCATTAAACAAAATGCTAATTTTTTTTTAGGCAGAATACAAAACATTTTATTATGTGTTATATTAAATTAAGGTTCTTATAATTATTATACATTATTACTCATATTACAGACAACATTTAATTTTTATCTATTATTATATTATTACTATTATATAAATATTTCACTTTACTTAAATAAACATGTTATTAGAAAAGTGACATTTTGAAGTGCACAAAATGTTATTTTTAAGACAATTACACTTTTTATTTTGACACTTGGACTTACAAACACATTTTAAAAATTCTTGGCCAATTCTTGTGGATTGAATTTTTATCAACTCATTATATTGTTCATTAGATAAAAAACTAATATAAGTGGCCACATTTTAAAAAAAATGTTGTAGTTTGTTATAAAAATTTGACTTCATATAAATCGTATGCATAGTTTCAACACCAAAACGAGACACGAAAATGACAAGAAAAATTACGATATTGTTATAAAATTATTAGTACATTCAATATTGTATCTCAGAATTATTATTATAGTAGTAAAAAAATATTAATCTTTACTGCGTTAAATCGGGAACGCACATTTATGATAAACGATAAGTAAAGTCGTTGGTAATAAGCGATGCCCAATTTTGTTTGTTTTCTTCATATTACCTACTCCACGATTGTAATTATACATTATACCTAGACAAAGCCCCTATTATGTATATTGCCGAGTGATTTTTGGCATTTTGCAAAATACCGGATTATTAATATAGAAATACCGATTCAAAATAGTAAAGTGATCAATTTTTTTTTCTTTTGAAAATAACAGAAAGTTAATGTTTTAAAAAATTATCTAAATTATATTTTTTTATTTATACAAGTAATGAGTTAGATTAATAATTTCAAACTTTGATAAACATTATATTATGACATTCAATTAAAAAAAAAATAAAATTAAAAAAAATAATTATCTATTAAAATGTACGATATGTTTTGTTATATTCATATCATCCAATTTGTTAATTTAAAAATGAAGCTCCCTTCTTCAAAATTAAGGTCTAAGTACGTTACAGTCTGTATACCTATGTACACAAAATGTAACAATACTAATTCATAGGCACTACTAGGAGGCTACTACGATATTTCCATAGCCTTCCTACGTCAAAAATAAAAAGCTTTAAAATTTTGTTTCATAATTGAGATAATTCCACTTCATACCTACGTGAAATAATTATATATTTAGTTTGAAAATGTAGATTACTCGACGTAACAATAAACCTATTATTTATTTAATTTGAATTTATAGTTATGAGTAATGACTGATTGTATTGTTTAAGGAAATTAATGAAATAGGGTGTGGAGGCTTAGCCCCTGCTGACCTATGACTTTTTCGTTTTGGTACTTTTAGCCAATTCAAATTGTAAGCTCTAGTTACGCCCTTATACACCTACCAACTACGACCATGTACAGGGACGTGTCTAATAATATTTTCCAGGGAGGATGGAAGGGTCAATATTTTTACTACTACATATTTCAAATGTATTTTTTTCACAAGATAATAATTAATTTTATAGTACTAGATAGATCGACAATTAATTATCAAAATAACCCTGACAAATGTTTGTAATATTAAACTTAAATTATATTAATTTGTATTGTATTTAAATTTTATTGGTGTTTTATTGATTTCGGACGGAGGGGGGAAGTGGCTAACCTGCCTTCTTAGGTATGCTCCAGATCATATACTATGTTGAACTATACGGTACGCAATTGTAGATTAATATATTTGTGACATGTAACAATCTGTAACATGATATAATGCAATACAAATTATGTCGAGTAGTTCGTTTTCATAAGTGAAACTGATTATTTTATATCAGGGTCGAATGACAGACTATCTGTCTATCTAGATGCAGTAACAGTCGGGGGGCAGTATAAAATTATAATAATATGTTATTATTATCTTTGTCGGAAATTCATCATTGATATTTTGTGCATATGTTATAGGTGCAAGCTAAATATTATTCTGTACGATGAAATTGAAATCCGTCCTAGTGACGTCTGAACTTATAAACCTCGGCGAGCTGGTCGGTGGTTAATTATTTTTTAAGCCAATTATTTTAAAATAATAAAATTAAAAATTGTTTTTAGTATTTTGTTATTTCGCAAGAAAATCATTTAAATATTTGTCATTTGAAATGTGACAATATTAGGTCCAGTTGATTAACCTCCCAGGCCCCTCGATACCTAGTCCGTTAATAGTCTCTTTTTTTTTATTATTTAATACCTAATGGTAAAGTCCTAACCATGTGTTACCTTGAGTTAAAATTAACTATAGTCTAGAATACAGACCCGGTTAACTTTCGTTTAAAAACAAATGTTTTATATATTATGAAGTACAATTTTTTAGTAATTGTATGAACTATTTGTTGTTTATTTACTCGTAATATGTATTTAATAATAAGTGGCGTTAGTTCTAATGTTTATAATTAAAAATTAAGGCCACATGGACTTTTTAATCTTAATTTTATATTTTAACTAAGGGCATTATATTTATTTTATAGATTAGGGAACGATTTTAAATGCAAATTGCATTGTTTTTTTTTTTTTTTTTTTTTTTGAAAACATTACTTACCAAGTACAAAGTATATTTTATATATCAAGGAACTGAAAAAAGTAACTTTTATTTTGCATTTTTCTAAAATTTTAACGTTATGTCGTGTAATTATTTACTTCTACGTGGAATATAATTTAGGGAGAAATTGTAATAAAGATATTATTAAGTTTGGTGTGCGTTGAGAAGATCTCTAGGCCATTCACGTTTGAAGCGTTTAGCTGGATGGTCTGGATGGTTAGAGATTGGTATGAAGTTGAGCAATGAGGGTATTTGAGTGATGTTCCATATTGGAGTGGAGGCGAAGATAATATTTGATAGCTGCTTATTTAATGGTGGGGATTTGGAAGTCTTTATGTAGAGATACATTTGTGAGGCACCAAGGAGCTTTAGTAATCATGCGGAGGCAGATGGCTTGGAAAACTTGTATGGTTCTTGTGTTCGAAGGTTTAGCGGTACCCCAAAGAACGATTCCGTATGATCAGATAGGTTGCAGTAGAAATTTTTAGAGTGGTAAACGGTTGGAGATATACATATTAGATTTCATGAGAGGCTTAAGCATGTGCAGGCGGTTATTTAGTTGTTTACGTTTAGTTTTAAGATGGAGGCCCCAGGTGAGTTTTCTGTCAAACAGTAGACCGAGATATTTGACTTCATTTGTGTGAGGAATGATTGCGTTCTCAAATGTTATATGAGGACAGTCACCAGGGTGGAGGGAGAAAGTGACATGAGAAGATTTAGAGTCGTTGATCTTAATTTTCCATGATTTGTATCAATGGGATAAGCTGTTCAGATTTTTTTGAAGCTTGCTTCGTGGGGGTCTTGGCTGGATGAAATGATTGCGGTGTCATCAGCATATGTCCCTATTAAAGTCTTATCCGTTGTAGGAATGTCAGCTGTGAACAATGTGTATAGGAAAGGAGCAATGTCGCTTCCCTGAGGTAAACCGGCTAGAATGTTTTGTGAGCTGGAAAGTTTGGTTTTTAATATGACTCTGAATTTTCTGTTTATTATGTATGATTTTAAAAGTAAATAATAAGGTGCCGGGAAGATTTTTTAAATTTTGAATAATAAGCCATCGTGCTAGACGGTGTCAAAGACTTGAGGTAGGTCAAGAAAAAGCCCTGAGCAATATTTTTTTGTTTTAAGAGATGTAGCAATGTGATCCACTACGCGGTGGAGTTGATGAAAAGTCGCATGTTTGGCTCGAAAACCGAATTGAAAGCTGAAAAGGGCATTTTGTTTGAGTGCGATAGTCACAAATCTCGTGAGAAGAAGTTTTTCAAACACTTTTCCAATCGTGGTTAGTAGACTGATGATCTATACGATTCAGGCATATCAGGTTGTTTGCCAGGTTTAACTATGTTATGATGAGTGCTGATTTCCAAATGGTAGAGAAATAAGATAGTCGAAATATAACATTAAAGATGTAGGTGAGAAGAATGATGGTTTTAGGTGTAAATTTTTTACTGTTTTGTTGTTTATGTGATCGTGGCTGGGTGACTTATTATTTTTGTGTTTTTTAACAATTGATAAAACTACACCAGGATTAGTGGGAAAGACTGGTAGTACCATGTGCAGAGGTGTAAGTTTAAGTTCTTTCGTGTTATTGGTGATTTCGTTTATGTTCCATAGAAGAATGGTTAAGGCGGATAATTTATTTACGGCCATTGTTTGAGATAAGTTTTTCGATGATTGATATAAGTAGGGATATCAGGGGATTGATTAGTTACCTGAATTCCATGATAAAAGACGTGAGTTGATCCGTTGTGTTATTCAAAACACTAGGGACAAAAGATTCTTTATGTGTACTATGTGGGGTATTTTGTAGCAGGGAAGGGAATTTCACGTGGATGTTTTTTCGAGGTTCTTGTAAGGAGGAAGATGCTTGGTGGTTCGATGCGTTTTTGCGCCAGGTGTTCGATGGTAGGAGTTTTCTGCTTTTGCTGAGTTCTCTGAGCACTGAGCTGCCTTACATGGTCTCAACATCTTAAAAATAAACGAAAGGCAATAAACTCCAGACTTCATCTACTTCGCCCTCTCCTAAAATCCAAACTAACTACCAGCAACAAACTTTTAATCTATAAAGCCATCATCAGACGAGTATGTTTTTATGGTATCCAATTATGGGGCTCCGCCAAACCTTCCAACTTGAGAACTATACAAGCTTTTTTTGTCAATAAGTTTTTGCAAAAGCTGGTAAATTCTATTACGCCCCTAATAAAAATTGGGGGGGGATAGAGGAGTTTTAGTATGTAGATCATTTTCTACCTTTCTTTTCAATGAGCCCCTTACAATTTCTCTAGATATAATTTGATCTCAATATACCTCATAGTTATGCTTCGACCTTTTAGATTGTTCAACAATTTGGTCACTGTTATTGCTTAAAATTACACTAGCATTGCAAAGTTTATTAGTACACCGAAAATTGAAATTTCCATTTTTTAATTTTCTATACTCTCGAAATTTAAAATTATTTAACATTATACAACGTTTTACTCTCCGTGTTAAATCATTATTTTGCTAAAACCGGAGACTAAACGAAAATTAACAGATTTATTATAACTTATAAGAAAAAATTTAACAAAAATATTTTTAGATTAGAAATAAAGCAATAAAGATTTAAGCTTATCCCACACGACTTATTTAATTAGTGAGCACAGAAATCACGATTATAAGATCCCTATTACAGATAGATGACAATTGATGGGAAACCATGATTGAAAATAATCATTATAATTTAAGACAACCTGTATACCCAAAACTGTACCTACAAGCAGATTTCCATTGTTCACAATTTTTTGCGCAAACGGGTTGTCACAAATTTAATAAATATATTAATATGAGCGCAAACGAGTCCTAACCCATTTTTATCGATACAATTTAGTTTATCGCAAACCGCAGGTATCTTTGCGTTAACAAATTCCACTTTCATTCTATTACTTATTTAGTAGATTTACTAGTATTGTCGTACAACTGTTCAAGTCGACATCTTTGGTTTTTTGGTTATTTATTTATTCCTTTTTAATTGTTAATTGTTTTTTGTTTATTCAAATAAGTGGATTAAAAAATTTAAATACAATGAAACGTAATAATTCTGGATCATTATTAAATTATTTTAAAGTTGCGTCACACACCACACCTGCAGAAGTCCAAAAACAATCAGTTGCTATAGACAATTCATCGGCAATAAATAATGATGCTACAGATATATCAAATAAATGTAATGTTCAACTAAATGACGGTAATAACATAGTACCAAAATATGATATATCTTTATATGTAAACAAAAAAATGAGTGATCACGAAAAAATTAATGTTATTAAAAATATTTGGGTTCCCGATAATAATTATACTTTTAAAACTCAACAAATAGGTTCTCAAAATAAAAAATTTAATCGATTTTGGTTAATAAAATATAAATGGTTGGCGTATTCGAATTTAGAAAATAGTGTCTATTGTAAGACGTGTGTTTTATTTGCCCCTTCAAATGCTGGTCACTGTTCTTTGCAAGCGCTTAATCAATTAGTTAAAACAGGATACAATAATTGGAAAAATGCTTTAGAACGATTTAAAAAACATTTACTTTTAAATCATAAAGATGCTACTTTAAAATATGATACTTTTATTGATATTATGGGTGGAAAATTGTTATCAATCAATAAACAAATTGATAAAGATTCACAAAAACAAGCCTTAGAGAATTCGGAGAAACTTAAACCAATTATAAAAACAGTAATTTTATGTGGGCGTCAAAATTTGTCTTTAAGATCGCATGAAGATTATGGAGTTTTTGATACAAAAGTACAACAGAAAGATCATTTTCCACTTTGAGAAGAATAAAAACATACTTGAGAAATACAATGAGTCAGAATCGACTGAATAGATTAGCTATGCTTCATATCCACAGAGAAATCGATGTTCAAACTTCAGAAGTACTCTCAGTATTGGGGGAAAAAGGACCAAGGCGTCTCAACTTTATAATTTAAAAGGTTAGATTTATAAAAAACAATCATTATACTATTCATAATTTAATAAATAATATTTGTTTTACAGGTATAACATCACCGCTACGGCGCGACTTAAAAACGGAACAAAAAAAACAAAATTAGTCAGTAAAAGATTGTAAACAAGCTTTAAGATTTCTGTACATATTTCAAAATAAAGCCCCCCCTAAAAAAAAAATCCTGGATGCGCCCCTGGTCTGCAATAGATGCTGCAAATGAAATGAATCAACTCCTAAATAATTTAAATCTAAAACAAAATGCATGCTATCTTTCCCACGCCACCCGTAATATAATGGTAAAATTACTTAAAACTGGTGCTATCAATGAAGAAAACCTAAAAGCTACAGCGGCTATTTTTTACAAAACAAGCAAAGAATATTTGGAGCAGTGGTGTCAGTTCAACGAGGAAGTAAAAATATTTGAATGGGCAAATTTGAGGAAGGTTCCCTCGTGGGAGGAAGTACAAAAAGTGATGGACTTACTTATTAAACAGAAATTTATTAGTAGCAGTCAAGATACAGGAGTTTTTGACGAGTTTTCACTAATTTCTAAGTATATAACAGCTCAAAAATATGTGACTGGAACACCGGAAATATAGCTACTGAAAATCGTTGGGTGGAAGTATTTACAATTATATGCAAATGATCTCGCACACGTGAATTTTCTTATAATTGTAGAATACATTTTGTGTCTGCCAGGCAGTAACGCTCCAGTTGAAAGAGTGTTCTCTCATATGAATAAAATATGGAGCAGTGAAAAAACTCAATTGGGAGTCTCTGTATTGAAAGCCATTCTTATAACAAAGGGTAACATAAACAAATTATGTCAAGAGTTCCATTCATACATAAAAACCAAACCGGCTACTTTAAAGCAGATATCTTGATCCGATAAATATAGAAAACCAGCCGAATAATGTACTCTATTATTATATTATTATTATTTACTATTTATTATTGTTATTATTAGGATTAATATTATATTAGCTGCGTTTTTCTGTTGGAATTTTTTTATAAATAATAAATGTTTTTTTTCCCAATAAAAAAATTTTTATTTTACGCTAGGTTTTCTTATTAAAATGTACAGGTGTCCCGCTTTGAAGAAAAAAAATTATGGTCACGTTAGTTATGACTAATGAGTAATAAGTGTTTTGACTAACGGTCTGACCTTAGTATCTATGATCGGCCATCATTGAATAAATATTATTATTTTGTATTTATTATCAATATCAAGGTGCATATATATCCACCTTGATCAATATATAACTTTTACTGATATCTTTTGCATTTAATTTATACTTCCGATATTCCAAAGACGCTGAGATTCAAGATCTTCGTAAGACCTCCTTGGGAAAAAAACAGTTGATTATTCTTTTTGTTTTCATTCAATTTTTTTTTTAACTTCGTCAAGTAAAGAAAATCGTTAATTCCCCTCCTACTATTTATCGTACTAGTACTGATAAACACGTTAAATAGATTTGTCTATCGAAATGTTTTGATGTTAAATGTGAATTGTTGGTTGTTGTGTGATTTGTTTGTGTTAGTAGACTAATTAAAGTAATTTGAATAAAAACGGATTTATAAGAGCCTTATATAACTTTAATGTTGGAGCACGATAATAGTTCAAGGTAAGTTTTTAATATTTATATATTTATGGCCAATAATAGTTAAGTATCAAAGCCTTGCAATACACATCCAAACTTTTACACATATGATTTTTTGAGTTGGTGGATTCTCATTGAAAAATCCTAAAAACATCATACCTTTATGCTCTGTTACTGAGATTTATCGATAAGTTTATTCAATTCAAATTAAAGTTTATAGTATTTACATAGGTACTATAATATGTAACCTGCCAGCTAGACCTTATAGTTTGAAGAGAAGTCACTAATTAAGTATAATTTAATCCTAAAATGTCTTAAAATTTTTGAAATATACTTAACATGAAATATAATTAGTATACATAATGTGATATACATTTTATATATGATTATACCTTCTGCACTCATGATAAAAACAACAGTGAGGAAATAAATAATAATTATTTATTTAAATTTTGTAGAAGAAAAATTATTGTTTGCATTTTGAAGTTTATTTTAAATGTATTTTAATTTATTTTTAACATATACCTATATAGTAAAAAAATACAACAAACAACTTTTATTAAGTATTAAGTTCACTCATACTATTTGTAAAAACTTATATTTTAATTTGCTAAAAATATTTTAAGATCAAAAAATAATATTAAGGACCTACGTAATTACTATATTTTAAAATACATTTTATTCTATATAACCACTGATAAATAATTAGTTATTATGTATAATTTTTATTTTACTAAATTAAGTTTTTAATATTTCAATATATTTTATCTTCCTAATTAAAATATATTATTAAAGTGTTAAATAACTAAACATAGGTATAAACTATAATATATATATTTTAACTCAGGAATAATCATCTGTAAAATAAATATTTACTTAAGAATTAGTGAATTAATTTTTCTCTTTATAGTGCAACAATGACTATTTCATTTTTGTAATTCATATTTAATTTTATTACATTATTTTACAATACTTTTTGAAACTTTACACTCATCTTAATTTTGATGTATGTAATTAGCATACAATAATTACTTGTTATCAACTTATCATTCTTATATGTTTTTCATAAAACATAATATATTTGTTGTTTTTTAAATGTGTATTTTGACAATGATTTTCCTTTTGTGATATTAACTTACAAACATTAATGTAAAACTATTTATATGACTAAGAAATTTACTAGCAACCTACTTAGAAAGAAATTTATCATTAAATACAGTTTATGTAGGTAGGTTGATCATATCCAAATAAGCAAACCTGTTTGGAACTTCTTACTATCTAAAAGATCTATACATTGTACATAAATGCATAATGCTTTTAGTTCTTAAGTTAAAATCTGCCTACATACATTAATCTAATTGAAATTTATTTTTCCTATAGAATATATTAGTATAAAATAATCATAACTTAACTTATATTCAATATTTTATTTTATTTATGTATATTATGAACTGCTAACTATGGTTTCAAGTATCTATTAAAATAAATATTGCTATATAATTATAACAGATTTAGAATTAATATTACGCTTGTGTGAAAGGTATTAAAAGCTAGAGAGGTTCTCATTTGCTAGTTGTATCATTTGGTTTCAGCCATAATTTGTATTATGTCGAGGAATATAGTAGGGTGAAAATAGCCCAATGGATCTGTTGAGAATTCTTAAATTAATTTCAACAAAAATTACAGGTGCATCAATAGAGCTGTTTATAAGTTTGTTGAGGAAATTATAATATATGAATAGTATATAATTAGTTATAATACTACTATTTATTTATAAAAATATAAACAGTTCATATTTTATTGTAAAATATCTATTTGATGTTTAAAATAAAAATAATTACTTAAATTATATAATTAAGATGTATCTATTAGGATAAATAGATAAAATATTAATACTTTTTTCTATAAAAGTAAAACTTAATTTTAATTATGAACTTACTTGATATTTTATTGTAATTGATTTAATTAAATATTATCAGGATTCTGTGATGAGTAGATAAATAAATGTATTTATTTTAAGAATTAATCAAAATAAATAATTGTTTGACTTGTTACTTAAATACTAAGTAAAATATGTCTTTTGCAGCAGCAGATTCATGAATTAAAAGACGAATCTTATTAATTACAATTTAATATTTGATTTTGTCATCTATCATATTTTATGGAAAAATGACCACCGAAGAAGATACTTCATATATTAAGTTACCTATTGAGGAACGATGTATACACAAAGTAATTATTATGTTATAATTTTATCTTAAGTTTTTTTAGTATAAAATAAATAAAAACAAACTTTTTAATTAATAAATAATAGTAAATAATTTACATGCACTACCAGTCAAAATCAATATTTAATTTATATTATATTTTAATGTGCAAAATATAAAAGTTATATTTATTTTTAAAGTTATGGAAAGCCAGAATCAGTGGTTATGAAGAAGCTATTAAAGTATTTGGACAATTAGATGAAAAAGCTCCAGAATGGAATAAATTTACAGGAATAATAAAGAAATTTGTTATTGACAGCAATGCAGTTGCACAAGAAAAAGGACTTGAAGCTACTTTAGTATTCGTTGAGAACTCAGCTACTGCTGGACGGTTAGTAAAAATTTGTTTCTAAATAATTGTTGTGTATAAAAATTTAATTTAAACTTAATATATAATTTATATTTACAAATAGTACTGCGGGAGATATCATGACTGGATTGATAACTAAATGTTATGGTGCGCCAAAAGCGAAAACCAAAGATATTGCTATCCAAATAACATTAATGTTAATTGAAATAGAAAAACAGGATATAGTTATTGAAGAATTAATAAAAGGAATGGATCATAAATTTCCTAAAATTGTTTCAACTTGTATTAAAGCTGCGACTCAATCAATTAAGTAAGTGCAAGACACTAACAAATTTAATATTTTGTATCAAAATATAAGGTTTGCAATTTTTGTGTTAAATTGTATTGATTAATTCATAAAGTTATTATTTATTTAGCATTTTGGAATGAATAATTACTTATTATTATTAATTTATTTTACAATTAACCATAATTCAGTAGTAAGTACTGATATTTGTATTTATTTTAGAGAATTTGGGTCAAAAGTTCTAAATATTAAACCACTGCTGAAAAAATTACAACCAATACTCGAAGATAGGGATAAAAGTGTAAGAGATGAAGCTAAATTATTGGCAATAGAAATATATTCCTGGATTGGATCTACACCTGTTAAAGCTAATTTGGCTAATCTCAAACCCCTACAAGTACAATGGCATAAACATTAGCTTAATATAATTCATTTATATAATGTTGTATTTATTAAGATTCAAGAACTAGAAGCAGAATTTGAAAAATTAAGTGGTGAAAAACCAAGGCCATCAAGGTTTCTACGTTCTCAACAAGAACAAGCTGCTAAAATGGAAGAAGTAGTGGTAAATGCTAATGGAGGTAAATGTAAAAAAAAATGTTTGAAATATAAATGAAAGCAATAAAATTATTTTAAAAATAGATGTGGTAATGGAAGAAGGAACTGATGAAGTTGATGATCCTGAAGAACATATTGATCCAGTTAACATCCTTGTTCAACTTAACAAAGACTTTTATGAAAAGCTTGAGGCTAAAAAATGGCAAGAACGAAAAGAAGCTATTGATATGCTTGAAGGAATATTATCCAAAGCTCCAAAATTAGAAAGTGGAGAATATGGAGACTTAGTGAAAGCTTTAAAGAAAGTAAGAAATTAATTAATTCTAAATGTTAGTAATTTTTTCATAAATTAGCTAGCACAATTAAAAATTACTTATTTATACATATATTATATTATGTAATACATTTATGTTTGCTTATTCTACAGATCATTACTAAAGATTCAAATGTTATAATAGTTGGTATTGCTGCCAAATGTATGGCTATGTTAGCTAATGGATTAAAAAAACGATTTGAAACTTATGCTTCAGCTTGTATACCTGCATTGTTAGAGAAATTTAAGGAAAAAAAACAAAATGTTGTATTACCTCTTCGAGATGCTGTTGATGCCATATATTTAAGTGTAAATAAACATTTAATTTAAATTATTAATTGATTAATATATATTAAATAATTTATAACTTATGTAGATGACACTTGAGTCCATTCATGAAGATGTTTTGACAGCAATTGATAATAAAAACCCATCTGTAAAAGCTGAATCAGTTTCATTTTTGGCTCGTTGTTTTACAAAATGTACACCAACAATTTTGAATAAGAAATATTTGAAAATTTTTACTACTGCATTAATAAAAACCTTAAATGAATCAGGTAAATTATTTAATACATATCATTTTTTGATTTACCATTTAAAATTATGGTACTCATTTCTTTTTTTTTTTCTGTCTTTTGTATACTTAATAGGAAATTTACTTTTATATCATAAATACAGGGTTCTAGGTTATTAATGAAATTATTTAAGTAAATAATTAAACAATATGAATGATCAATTAAATTGTAATTTTATATTTATATCACTGTCAAGTTTGCTATAAAAACAAATGACTTTTTCATATTCTAATATGTTATTATTTATACATTACATTACTTTTTATGCAACATTTTATATTTTAAGTTATGTGTATGTATAAATTATAAATAATATGGTGTACAAAATAGAATACACAGGCCTGCAGAATGTACTTCCTGATTGATATTTTAACACAATGTGTTTAGCTAATACACTAATAGCACAGAATGCTTCTTGACCAGTTGGTATTATTTCACTTGTAGATAATTCAAAACCATTTTCACCACCATCCCGTAATTCCAATGCAAATACATATTTTATATTTGCTTTACCTCTCATCCAATCAATTGATGTACCTGCATTTTTTTATTTTTTTATTTATATGTTTATTTGTTTTTAATGTTTAAATATTTAATTTAAATAAGTTTAATTAAACTCTTTAAACCTGATGCTTGATACATTGTTGAACTTGCTGAACCTTTTGTATATATGTTTGAAGTTTTTTCAAATATTTTTAATGACATGGATGTAGCTATGTCATGCAGTTCATTATAATCTTTTAAATTTTCTTTGGTGTATCCCCAAGGATACATGATAATTTGTCCATATGAATGAAAAGTTATATATCCCTAATAAGCAGAGGATTTTAATTTGCATTTTTTAAATTGCAAGTATATTTGTTATTTATGTAATATTATTAATAAATTCAAAGTTTTTAAGATGTTACATTAAATTTAAATATTTATTAATAAAGTATTGCTATATTTACTGTGTATTAAATTGGAGAAAAGAAATTAAGATCTAGAAATTGTATGATAATACAATAAAGGTATATTTATTATTCTAATATTAAAGTTAATTATATGATTATTATTGGTGATAGGATACATCTATATCAAGTTTTATGTGAAAAATTATATAAATAAACTATTGAGATTAAGATGAGATTAAAAATTCAAACTGAAGAATAAAATTTGTGAAAAGTGTATCTACTTAAACATTCATGTTGTATTTAATAAATATTTGATGTATATTAAAATATCTAATATTATCCTTAAATTGGATCAATTAAGTGTATATTTTAGTTAAATTGTATTTTAAAAACTAAAGTTAGAGTTAGAAAAAAAAATTTTAATTTATCAGTTTAATTAAGGCTTATAAGAGTTATTATGGCTTGGGTTCAGAATTGGCCAAACTTTCAAAATTAAGGTCCAATCCATTACTACTAATATTGTATTATATTGAAAATATTTTAACTGACCTTTATTCTTGTTAAATTTTTCTTGAAATACTGAATAATTGCTTTTATTTCTAACTCAGAATTAGGTGCACTACCTCTGTAGCTATCTGAACAACAATCTTTATCAGAATTTGTATTATTCCAATCATAATTCCAATTTCGGTTTAAATCAATTCCTATGCATTCTTTCTTTGAAGTTTTGACACGATTTTTCCTCCACAATCTATCTTTTTCTTGTGAATAAGTATATCTACATAATTGTATTTAAAAATGGTTGTTATAATATTATTTGGTATCTATTTTCTGTATTACTACCCATCTGGATTTAAAATTGGCATTAATACAAAATTAATATCCTTCATAAAATTTGGTAATAATTGCCTATTATATATCAGTTCATTTGTAATATAAATCATTGAAGATATAGTAATCCATTCTCGTGCATGAGTACCTATTTAAAATGATAGAAGTTTATAAATTATACTATTATAATTAAACATGATCTAGCAAAATTATTATGTAGGTACCTCCATCAATCCAAATAATGTCATTACTCTGATTTGTTTTTATTTTTATAATTTTTAATGGAGTTCCTTGGTTAGTGTATCCAATTGTAGAAACTTCAACCAAATCAATGTTTTTACTTTGTAAATCATCAATAAATTTATAAATATCTTTTGTATGATAGAATTTCTGAAGTATAGCTGGTATTTTCTAAAGCACAACAAACATTTATTTATTTATTTTATGTTTATCATTTTATTACTAAAATAACTTCCTATTTAATTACAAGTACAATAACTTATTAATATAATACTTATTAACTTATTGTTTAATTACTTGTTTTGTATATTTTAGAGAGTTGATTAAATTTTTGCTTGTATACTTCGTGTTTGGTAATGGTATATTATACTCAACATATCGTTTTGTTACTTTACTATTGATTTGTTTTTTTTCAAAATTTGCTATATAGATTGTTAAATAATTTATTATCATTATTTGTATTATTAAGTTTATGAGTACATTCTAATTTTATTTAATATTTATATAAATGTCTAACTTTTATTTTTTGTTTTAATGGTTTTTAAAATGAATGAACTCGTTTTATATTGATATGTTTTAGAATCTATATTCAACACTAAATAATATAGTTCAATTATATATACTATTATAATATACAGTGATGGTAAAAACATTATGATTTTATTATATAGTTCGAACTTTAATTTGAATTAAATGTATAATCTTGTTTCCTAATACTACTATTGATATATATTTCTATAACAACACTGTACATACAATTTAAAATTAGAGATCTTTTTCTGTTTTATTGTATCAATGTTTCTTAACTATTATAATTTGAAGTTTTTAGTTTAAGATATTAAATTGATTTTAAAATTGAAAAAATCAATATCTAAGATTTTAAATTAATAGATATTAATGATTTAATTTTTTCAGATCCAACTGTTAGGGATAATTCTGCTGAAGCCCTTGGCACTGCATGGAAGGTTGTTTCTGAAAAAAATATTCTTCCATTTTTGACTGGAGTTGATGCAATAAAGCTTGCTAAAGTAAATGCATTATATTTATATTAATTGTATAATTATATTATGAATAATTTTATAAATATTGTTCTTGTAAAGATCAAAGAAGCAGCAGAAAAAGCTGTAATTACTGCAAAACCAACTATAGTGAGAGAACCTACATCAAAACCTACTAATGTCTCATCTAATAGTATTGAGAAAAAATCAACAACAACAATTAATAAAAATACTGTTGTTAGAAGAACTCGTACAGCTGTAAATATTCCTAGTAAAACTACTGTTAATAGTAAAGCCAAAAAACCTATGAGTGCTCCTGGTATATTTTTAACATTTAATATAATTTTTAATACATATAAATACTTTATTTTAATTATTTTGTATTATCAGGTGGTCGTAAACCATTATCATCAAAAAATCTTCCTCCAATTGAAACTGAAAATGAAATTGGTGATGATGAATTGGAAGAACTAGCTTTAACATTCTGTTCTCCTGAAATTTTAAATGGTATGACCGATGCAAATTGGAAAACTCGTTTGTTTTATGTTCAAGAATTTTCAAAAGTATGTAACTTGTATGGTTTTCTTTTTCTTCTAAAAGCATAGATTTTAAAAATAACTGAATTTAAATGTTTACAGATAATTGATCAGATGGAATCATTACCAGTTAGTAGTCAAGTATTAATAAAATTACTGAACAAAAAACCCGGCATTAAAGATAATAATGTTCAAATACAAAAATTAAGACTCGAGTGTTTGAAAAATATTATCGAAAAGTTTTCCATCACTAGGTATTTATTAAAATTTTATTTTAGATTTACTTTTACTTTTTATGTATTTATTTATTTTTAAAATTATTGTTAGTACTAGCATGAATTGTTGTATTCAAGATGTTTCTTCCTTATTGGGTGATGGTAAAAATGGTACTTTAGCTAATCAAGTATTGACTACTTTTGCGGAATCTACTAGATTAGATCTAGTCTCTAATGCAGTATTAGAGTATGCATTTACTGTACAGAAAAATCCCAAAGTTCAAATTGATGCCCTCAACTGGCTTTCAGGTGCAATATTAGAGTTTGGATTTATGTAAGTATCTTCTGTATTTCTGTTTTATATTTAAGCTTTAACCCTTTTAGTTTAAGTATTTTATTTATGTTATTTATATTCTTAATAATATCATTATGCTATCATTTAAAAAAATTAATATTTATCTAAAATTATTATTTTACATTTTATGCTACCTGAAAAGGTCTGAATTAAAGTAAGTTACCTATTACTATTTATTTAAATTATATAATATTTATCAGTCATAACCATATTTTTCATTATGAATATTGGTTTGTGACTTAATTGTATACTCAAATATCAATATTAAGTTTATTTTCAATATTCAATTATTATTTGGCTTATAAAAATGATTAATAATATAAGTAATACATTTTGAATAAAATTATTTAATAGTTCTCCACCAAATTAACTTTTTATAGAAAAACAAAAGCTGATACTTTTAGCTTTAATAATTATAAATGTTGACAAAAATTTTCAACAAAAATTTAATCCCTATTTCCAATATAAACAAATCCTAAAAATAAGATTTTTTTTTTTAATTGATTATTTTAGTATTGAACCTAAATCAGTGATGCAAAATGTCAAGAAAGCCGTGAGTGCTTCTAATCCTCAAGTAAGAATGGCTGTTATATCTCTTCTGGGTGTCATGTATCTTTATATGGGCCCTCAGTTAAGTTTATTTTTTGAAAATGAAAAACCAACTTTAGTACAACAAATAAATGCTGAATTTGAAAAAGTATGTTAATTTAATATTATAAAAGATGTAATAAAACAATACTAATGATTATAATTCTGCTTACAGCATCAAGGTGAAGTTCCTCCAAAACCAACACGTGGTAAGCAAATTGAAGGATCTAGTGAGTCCTTAGAAGTTGCCAGTGATGATGAAAAACCAGCATATGAAGTTAATATTCGAGATATTGTTCCAAGAGTAGATATAACTCCACTTATAACTGATTCTTTAATTAGTGAATTATCAGATAAAGATTGGAAAGTAAGGGGATATTAATCAATAAAATATAAAATAAAAATTTATGTTTTATTTATTCTTCCATCCATTTTTTAAATAATTGTAGGTTCGTTCTGATGCTTTAACCAAATTGCAAAACATTGTTAATGAAGCCAAATTTATAACTAGTGAGTTGGGTGAAGCTAGAAAAGCTTTACAAGACAGGTACATTTTTATGTTAATTAATATTACAAATAATTATATTTCTTACTACTGATAAATTACTTAATAATTAACTCCTAGGATAAGTGATTCAAATGCTCGTCTTGGTTCAAATGCAATAAATTTAGTCGAATTAATATCAAAAGCTATGGGTTCTTCTTTTAAAAATTATATAAAAGGTTATTTACCTGGCGTGTTAAATGCATTAGGTGACCCAAAGGTATTTACTTTTTGATAATTGTTATATAAATTTTAATTTAAAATAATAATTTATACATATTTTGTTTAACAAATATATTATCTTAGACATTTAAATGTCAAAGTGCTCGTCAATGTATGAATACTTGGGCAGATGTATGTGGATATCGTGAATTTTTCGGAGGTGATATACTTTTGGATGCATTCAAAAATAACTCTGTAACATTAAGATCTGAGTTATGGACATGGCTTGCTGAAAAATTGCCACTCAGTATGATTTAAATTATTATTAGAATTTTTAAGTTTTTAATATATAATTTTTTATATAGTACCTTCTAGGACTATTCCAGCTGACGAGTTAAAATGTTTACTGCCAGTTCTTTACACTAGTCTTGAAGATAGAAATGCTACTGTTCGTAGTGCTTCCGAAAAAGCTGTGCTTGGATTTATGATGCATCTAGGTTATTCTGTTATGTATGGAGCTTGTGATAAATTAAAGGTAAAGTTTTAATTTCAGTAAAGTTTATCTAGATTTCAATATTGTTATTTTTATATATTTTTAAAGCCTATGTCAGTCAAGTTTTGTAGAGAAAAATTAGACAAAGAAAGACCAAATTTACCAGTTGTACCAATTGAAAAACCTAAGGTTGTAAAATCTGGTATTCCTGCTGGACCATCAGTTAAATCAGGAGGAACAAAAATACCCCCTCTAAAGGCTCCTATTAAAGCCAATAAGGTTAGTTGATTTATTATCTAACATAAACTATATAATTCAATGCTCAATTTTATGTTAAGGAAACTGTTATTCCTCGTGCTGGTACAGCTACAGGAAAAAAGAAAGAAGAAGTAGACAATGGCCCATTGTTCCAACGAAATAATTTAAAGCATCAACGGGATATTGATGAACATAAATTAAAGGTAACTGATTCTATAAAAGAATATTAAACCAGCTTATAAATTTCAAATTTACTGTTCATTTAATTTTTTACTTTTTACACAAAATAAATGATTGAACAATTATTTATTGCATTTTTTGTTTTTTTATATTTAATATCTTGTGGTATTATTAAAATTACTTTAATTCATATAGAAAAATTTCATATTCTTATATAATACAAATTAAATTGTTTTTTTTTATAACAATTTAGGTTTAGTTTTGAAATTATAATTTAGAAATGTTTATATCTTTTAAGGTAAATTTTTAAAATTATTAATAATGTTGAATAATTTATATTATTATGCTTTTTACTTGTACATTAAATGTTATTTGGAAGAATTTCTGATTTTTATTTTTATAAGCTTAGCTGTAAAATGTACATAAAATATACTGTAGATATTATTAATTGTATGTGTTAGATTAGTGAAAGTTTCTTTATTTCTACCACTTATAACTAAATTAATTATAAATAGAATTTTGTAAGATTGATTCTTTATTAATGAAAAGTAATAGTTATGTATTTTGGTATGTTTAGTCATTAAAATGGAATTTTACTGCTCCCAGAGAAGAATTTGTGGAACAACTTCGGGAACAAATGTTAACTGCTGGTATTAATAGAGTGTTAATTGTTAACATGTTTCATTCAGATTTCAGATATCATCTCAAAGCAATTGACACTTTATCAGAGGTAGTAAAATACACTGATTATTTTATTTATTCTGAATTATTTTAATTATTTTTTTTTTAATTTCTAACAAGGACTTGCTTGCAACAGATGATAACAATTTAGCATTAATTAGTAATCTTGACTTAATATTGAAGTGGATGACCTTAAGGTTCTTTGATACCAATCCATCAGTACTTTTAAAAGGTCTTGATTATTTACAACATATTTTTGATATTCTTATGGCTCAAAAATATACTCTTCATGATACTGAAGCATCAAGTTTTGTTCCATACTTAGTTACAAAAGTAATTTAAAATAATTTATTTAGGTATTTTATTTTATACTATTTATATTATTTTTAATTTTATATTTTTTTATTTTATATTATTTACTGTATTTATATTATAGTTAGGGGATCCTAAAGACACTGTGAGAAATAATGTTCGAGCTATTCTAAAACAAATTGCATTTATATTCCCTAGTACAAAGATGTTTGTGTATATTATGGATGGGGTAAAATCAAAAAATTCAAGACAACGCTCAGGTTGGTTTTAATTAAATAGTTTAGGTCAATGATTTAAAAAATGATCTATATACTACTATTCTAGCAGTCATTTAATTTTAATAAGAATTAGTCGTAGATTCATAATAGTGAGTAGAAGTTCATTATTTGATAGTGCTCACAAGACATTTTTCATGTAGTTTTCTTACATTTTTGAAATAAGTCAAAAAGTTTTTACTTCAAAGTCTAAAATTGCCAAAAATCAAACTCGAAATATTTGAAAATTGTATATTTTTTTTTTTTTAGTTAATTATATTTTTTATTAATAATATTGGTAATAATTGTTTATCAATACTATATTAAAGAAATTAATTTTTTAAAAAAAATACATTTTGAATTTATATAGTTTCCGATTTAAAATAATTGTATATATTTTTTGATACATTTGACCAACAATTATAATTTGTGATAGAATGTTTGGAACATTTGGCAACCATGATAGAAGACTATGGTACATCAATTTGTCAACCTAGTGTTGCAGCTGCATGTAAAGAAATTGCAAAAAGTATTGGAGATAGAGATAATTCTGTCCGCACAGCAGCACTAAATTGTTTTGTAGCTGCATTCTTTTTACACGGAGATGCTCTTTTCAAATTTGTTGGCAATGTAAGAATATATAACTTATTAATACTTAAAGTAATATAAACACATTTAAGGTATGAATATAATTTTAAAAAGTAATGATTATGATGATTCATTGTTAATAAATAATAACAAGTATAAAATATTTTTAATTGCTTCACGACCTAAAAATTAATTAGTAAATATTTCTCAGAAAAATGTCTAAAAAAAAAAACTCTTATTAATTAACTTATTTAACTTTATTTAACTTATACTACTATTTTATCTTTGTATGTATATTTTAATTAAAAAATGTTTTCATAGCACATTTGTTCTTTAAACAAAAAATAATATATTATACATATTAAACCAGTTACGTTCTGATAAAAATGTTGTTTCAATATTACTTGATAATTATTTCTGGATCATTAAATTATTATTTATTTATTTTTTAATGAAAATTATTATTTTGAAACAGATATCTGAAAAAGATATGGGTCTTTTAAGAGAAAGATTGAAAAGAGCTTCAAAGAACCGAGTTGTACCAGTTGCTACTGTCCAACCAACTATAAAAATGGTTGTACCACCTGTCCAACCAATACCAGCTACAGATGATAATGTTGATGAATATAACTCTGATGAAGAAGAACATAATACTACATTTAATGTTTCACATGAATCTAATCATGAGGCAAGTCCTCAAAGGTATTCAAATGAATCACCTTCTAGATCTGCTAATACTTTAACATATCAAACGGGAAGTATTCCTACTACTATAAACTCATCATCAACATTAAGAATTGGATTCAGGTGAAACAAACATTTCAAATAAATTAATTTACAGCATGTTTTTATTTATTATAGTTAAGCATATTTAAATTGAAACACATTGCCTTTTTATTCTATTGTTATTTTTATATTGATGTAGTTAATCAAGCTGTAATAAGTTTCACCTAGCAAAAATTGGTTCTTGGAATTTTTTTTAATTTTGAAAGATTTAATGAATCAAATTATATAATGTTTAATAGTTCAATTCATCAAAAAAAAATGAGTATTTAACTTAATAATACATTTTAAATTACATATATAAAGTAGAATCTTGATTATCAGAACCTCCCTCAAACCAACCCTTTATTATCTGAATGTTTTTTTGTTTCAATTTACATATCCGAACGCCAGTGCATTAAAAATCACAATGCGCATGCTTGGTCGCATTTTATTATTGGTCTGTTTTATCTAAACAATGTTTACGTGCGACTAGCTTATTAATACATTCATATTGTATACTATATAACTTTGAGACATATATATATATATATATATATATTGATATTTAAATAAATGTAGAATACTTAAAGTACAGTTTTAATTCATAGAATACCAACATATGATAAACCACATTAAAATAAAATAAACTCAATAATAATATTTTATTTTTTCCAAAATTTACCAAACTATTTCTTGATAACTTTAACATCAATCTCATTTGGTTTTTAAAGAAAAATATGATGACTATAAATAAACATCTGCATAAACTTTCACTTAGGTTTCAACCTCATTTGACCAAATTCACTCACTTTAGAATATTATATAATATAATATAATATATATAATATAATATAATATAAAATATGTTTTTTAATATTGTTATTAGGATTTTAGACATATTTGATTCAAATTATTATAATAATACATTAAACATAATATAGTGCATGAATTTAAGCTTATTGTTATTAATTTCTGCATTGGCCAACATTAGACTTTTTTTATTTCTTCTAAATACACATTTTTACTTGCTGCATTTGTGAATCAATATGCATTCAGTATATAATATTTTTTCTGCTTGCGTTTGATTTACTGTGCATAAAAAAAAAAACTTCATTATATAAGTATTAACTATAAACTCCTGTTTGTTATTTATTGATTGAATTTTTTTTATTAATAATATGAACTATTTAGTTGATTTGAAAAAATAACCAAAAAAAAAAAAAAAAATGTTTGTTCAAAGTATGTAATATTAATTTTTCTTTTATTGATAGACGACCTATTAGTGAAAATTATGATGAACCTCAAGCAACACGTTATGCTTTGGATGAAAAGTTTCTTCAGGAATTAGAAGCAGAAGAGATAACTAAACCAGAATTAAAGTTAAAACCTTATAATTGGTCTACAGATCATGATGAAGTAAAATTTAAAAGAAGAATTCAAGATCAATCTCAGTGTGTTACTATAGTTGTATTACTTAATTTAGATGTATTAATTTAAATGTTATTTTTAGATGTTTACCTGATAATATTTCTTCTTCTAAACCATGTGTAAATGTGAGTCCATATAGTACTGCTACTATAACTAAAAGTCCTAAATCTCATCCAACACCTGTTGATCCTATTCAGCAGTTAATAAATCAAGTTGCTTCGCAGGACATAGACACTTCAAAAAATGCCTTAACAAGCTTGGATAAAATGCTTTTGAGATCTGACGTAAGATATATTTGTATAATTATATTTACTTATGTAATTTTATTTTAACATATTTATTTGAATATTTTATATATTGTAGATGAGATCTAAGTTTTTAGAAGGTGGAAAAGTATTATCCCTTTTTTATGCCATTATAAAACAGTTTGATATATTATCTGAATCTCATGATATTGATGTTACAGTTGGGTATAAGAATATATTCAATTTATGTTTGAATGTAAGTACTATTTCCTTTTACAGTTTTCAACTATACTTAATATGAAGTTATAGTAAGATATGTTGTTCGTCCTAATTTTATTTTCTGCAAATATTTGTTTGTCTTTTTTTAAAGCTTCATAAATTAATTATTTTACTTTTAGTTGTATAAATATCAAGAATTCACCTTAATATTGAATGAACAAATTGTTCGAGACTTGCTTTCCAAGTTATTGTATCTTCTAAGTATGAAAGGACCTGAGAATAGTACAGATACTCAACTTTTTGGACGATGTGTAAACAGTCTTATCATGAATGTTTTAGAAAGATCTGCTCATACCCCAGTAACATGGTAAGAATTTATTTCACTATATATACATTATAATTGAATAAACTTATGATAAATCCTTAGTGCTCTTTTGGCCATGCTCTATGATACAGTTAAGTATCCTCAAAATTCTTCTAATCATTATAAAGAACTAGTTATGAAATGCATATGGAAAATAGTAAAAGATTTTCAAGAATGGGGCGATGAACTGTGCTATGACCGAGTACTTGCTCATATACATAAATTTTTGAAAGTATGTATTTATTTTATCAAATACATCTACTTATTGTCAATCTCTTATTTTTTTAAATTAGGAGTTTGATTCAAAGCACTGGAAAAAACAACCATCTGACACTCCTCTGAGAACATGCAAAACTGTTCTACATACAATGGTAAAAATACGCAGTGATAAAGTATTAGAAAGCTTAAATAGTCCAGAATTTCCTAAGGATTCAGAAATGGTTGTTTATATACATAAGCTTTTAAGGGTAAGGAGGTAAAATAATTTTTTTTTTTTTTTATATATTAACAATTTATTATGTTTTCAGCATTTGAACAGTGAACCAAGACCTGAAAGCAGTAAACGTAAACATCGAACTCCATATGATGAACTTACTGATATATTTCAACTTATTGGCCAACACGAAAATACTGATGAAGTAAGTCTTGCCATAATTTAGTATTTTATGATTTAACAGTTACTCAACTATATTAAATCCATATAAATATATTTACAAGTATTATAAAAATAATTATGTTGGGCATTTTATCTTGAAAATTAGGGCATACAACAGTTGCACAGATTTAAAATAAAGCATCCCAATATAGACATAGAACCACATATTTCCAAAACAACCAAATACTTTCAAGATTATATTCATCGTAAACTGTCAGCAATTGAAGATAATTTAAAAAGCTGTTTAGTTGAACCTAATGGTAGTTTCATTTTTTATTCTCGAATTAGTATTTATTTATATCTATACATTAATTTTTATATTTTAGGGAATAATGATAATTTAAAGCCTATTCCATCTACACAAATGCGAAAACCTGAGTCAGCTGCTGGCAGTGAAGCTGATGGATTTATGAAACGGTTGCAAATATTAAAAATGAAAGCATCACGAGAAGAAGCAAATGACATATCAAATAAAGAATGTAATGGAAACAATCGACTGGATGAAGATTCACAAGACGAAGATTTACCAATGCTCAACACAAGTCGTTCTCCTCGTAAATAAAATTTAATTCCATTTATAGTATTAATTTCAAACAAGTGCTCTGATATAGTTCAATCAGTACGCCTAAATCCTTACACTACTCCTACCAAGACTGAAAACCTATAAACTGCTGTTTTTTTTTATATATATATATATTTGCTTCTTAATTATAATAAAACTTTGACATTTGTGTATGAGTCTTTTTGTGAATTTAAAAGCTTGTTGCTTTGTAAACAAATATATAATAATGTATAACTCAAATTATTTTTAATATTATATTTTAGTCGATTTTAACCTAAAGATTTTATTTTTAAATAATACATAGGTACTTAACATGTTATAACAATATTTACATTTTAGTATTTTAGACTTTTCAAGTATTAATGTTAATATTATTATTATACTTATTGATTAAAACTAATTTCAATGATCAAAAATTTTTATTTTTCATTGAATTTTCTACTTTAGCCACAAATGCTGGGAATTCCACATTTTTTATTGTATCAATTATTGTGTTTTTCAAATGCATTCTTTCAGGTAATAAATTTTGAATATCTGTTACTTCAATACCATTGCTTTTCATTGTTTCAATGCAATCCATAGCAGATGGTGTATCATAAAAGCTAAGAACCCACTTGCCATTAAAACATGAATCGAATGATAAAATTCCCAAGTGAAGAGTAGAGTACATAACGTATGTTTCGGGTGTTATAAAAATTAAATCATTCACTTTGTTAGAGTAAATATTCAATGAGTAATTGTAAAACTTTACTTTTATTTGTGTATTGGATATTGTGTATTCATTGTTTAAACTTAAACTTGAATAGGAATTTATGAGCCAGGTTTCATTGCAATTAATTTTATTGGACTGAAAAATCACAAATTATAAACATAAAATATAAGTATTTAATAGGGATAGAAATAATATAATATATTGTATACCATTTTTGGTAAGGATATTGCTGGTTATATTAATTTTTGGACACAGCAGTATTAATAATAAAAAATTATAAATCAAAATAAGAAAAGAGCAGTACAACTTCCAATATAATATACTTTTTTTAAGTTCATAATTGTAAAAAAAAAAAAAACATTTTCATGGAATAAATAATCAAAAATATCACAATAAATAAACATCAGTTTACTATGGTAAGTTACTATGGTATTTACTAATAATTATAGTAAAGCATCTTATAAATAATAAATAAGCACTTAAATCTCTATGAAAATTTAATATTTTATAGATTTAACGTAACAATTTTAATCATTAGTAGTAAATATGAAAATACATAATCTGATTATAATAACATCAGTCTTCATCAACTATTGGCGTACACTGAAATAAAATAACAGAATAATCTTTTTTTTTTTTATTTATTAATGAGTTATACAACTATAAAATAAAGCACAAGTAATAATGAAAAAAAAAAAAATTTAACAGAAATTGATGGGATGTAGGAATGGGGAGCTACTTTGAGTACTAGAGAGGAATAATTTTAATAAAGAAGGTCTCTACACCACTTATGTTTAAGTCTTCTAATGAAATTGTTAGAGATGTGAAGTAAAGCAAGTTGACTTTTATGTTAGGATTAGTATGAGAGATAAATTTTTGGTGGAGTTTCGGTATGCAGTATAAGTAATTTGTTTTACATATTTTATTTTCAGTTCTAAATGGAGGGTTTTGTTCCTAACATACCAGAATTATTTTGTTATAGTGGGTAGCAGATAGATTGGAAATATTGGATTTTTTGCATGATACTTAAAGCCAGTTGCATACATACGGGGGGGAAGTCCGGGTTCAAACCCCCTAAAGCCAAAAAAAAAAAAAATTGTTTTATTATTGATGTCGTGTAATACATTTGTAGTTTCATTATTATGCTTTGAACTTAAAATATACAACTATACAAATATTATGATAATTAAATAATTATATTGATAGGTGTTTAAAAAGTTTTGTTAACTATGCTGTTTTTATATTCCAATAGCTATTTATTTACTGTAATGTAGAAGTAAACTGTAAATTGGTAAAAAAGTTGTACAAGATAATATCTATTTATAGCAGTTATTTATCTTATTTATCAGTTATTTATCTGTGCAACGAAAAAAAAAAGATAACTATTATTTTTGTTAAACCCCCCCAGAGTAAGATTGAATGTACACCACTGCTTAGAGCGGCATTACCCCAAATTTGTATACCATAATATGGAGGATATATCAACGTTAGGATGGCCTTTAAAAATGTAAGTCATTTTTTTTTTTTTTAGGACGCCCACCTTATTTTGTTCCATATAGTAAAAATAAAATTTAGTGATAGTTTGAACACGATCAAGAAATTTTTTTCGGAGGCGCAGAGAGGTTGAAATTTACGTGAGTGGAATTTTTGTACTAAAATCATACTTATTTGTAATATCTACTTAATTTTAATACTTACGTTAAAAATGGAAAGAATATTATTTGTAACATATAAAATTATCTAAATAAAGTCATATATTGTATTTAATCATAATATTACTATTTTCGTGGGTAAATATTATAATATAATAATATTATATATTATAAATTTTTATTTAATATATTTTTATATTTATTTTTTTTTAAAATAGTGCTTGAACTTTGTCAGTCAGATTCTATTCTTCTAATATTTTATATATAGCATGAGCTTGATAATGCCCACTTCCTGAAGTCATTTTTCGAATGCCAAGAAGTTTTTCAGTTTCTGAACAAGTAATAACAACTGGTAATCAAGCTACATTTTAGCAGATAATATACTTTATCTAATATTAAATTGAACATAATGTGTACAATATGATTTTAATATGATTTAAGCCACACTAAACATACCGGAAAAATCAACATTTTATAAAATATATTTAAAAATTATATAATCGCCCTCTGGGGTTCAGCCAAACCAGCTAACACCAGAACTATCCAAGCTTTCCAAGCCATTTGCCTACGAATGACTGTGAACGCCCCCTGGTACGTTACAAATGTCAGCCTTCACAACGAGCTAAAAATTGCTACTGTCAAACAAACAGCTGCCAAATTCTACACTCGCCTCCACTCCAAAGCGGCAGACCACCCCAACTGCCTCATCGCTCAACTTCACTCCAACCATCTTCCAGAAAACCCACCAAGACGTCTCAAAAGAAATTGGCCCAGAGACCTACTCAACACGTGATGCATACCTTTTAAGGAAATTAAATCAAATTAAATTATCTTAAGCTCAGGTGCTTCAAATGTGAGGCTCCTTCATGTCATTCGCTGTCCCTTTTAAAAAAAAAAAAAAATTTTATGTTAAACCTTTTACTTATTGTGCTCCTCTTGTACAGATTGTAAATATTCACAAAATAAACGTCTTTAAAAAAAAAAAAAAAAATTATATAATGCAATTTATTCACAAAAACACTAATTTAATGAAAAAATCTTATAACTTTATTTAGATAATTTTATGTTATAAATAATATTCTATCCTTTTTTAATGTAAGTATTAAACTTAAGTAGATATTACAGATAATTATGAAATAAGTACAAAAATACCCTCATCGAGTAAATTTCAACCCATTTGCGCCTTAGGAAAGAATTTCTTGATCGTGTACAAACTACCACTAATTTATTTTTTTACTAAATGGAACATAATACAGGAGTAGCCCTATAAAAATTTAAAAAAAAAAATTGACATGTATACATAAGGGCCATCCTAATCAATGCTTTCAAAATAATAATTTTGCATTTCAGATTTAATTTAGATCTCAGAAGAGGTTGAAATAAATGTAATCTGGTGTTCAATTGTTTCCTTTTATCGTTTATATGATCTTTCAAAGTTAGTTGTTTATCAAAAATAAGCCTAAATAAATTTGACTTGGTTGGTTTGAGGTAGCAATTAATTGTAAAGTTTGACTGGCGGACAATTATTAGAATGAAGAGAGGAAGTATTTATTTAGTATTATTTTTATCTATGATAAGTTTGAACTTTGCCCAAGAAATGGGACCTTTTGTTAAGTTTTGTTTGTTGTTAATTGAGGTAGTTGCATTTATTTATGAAATTAAAAAAATTTACCTACTAAAATAATTAATATATGTTACCAGTGGTGCTGAAAACGTACTCCGGGTAGTTCAATTGAACTACCTAGAAAATTGAAATGTTAAAAAAAATTAAAATTATCATTAAACAATTTAAAATAATTTTTTTATGTATTACTTGATATTTATTTTCTATTGAAATAGTAAATTGAATAATTAAATAAGTTAAAAATAATGTTGTAGTATTTAAATGGGTAGTAATTAGAAGGGATGGATGTGTAAATCTAATTATTTGAACTGACAAATTTAATTTCATTCAGCACCATTGTGTGGTACTATATTAAAACAAATTGTATAAAAAATTCTAAATTTATGCAAAAATAAAAAATTGAATCATCTAAAGTGCAAAATATTAGATTAAAATCTAGTCAATAATTATTACTTACAAAATATTCTAAATAACAAGTATGACTATCTACTTGCACCATAAATTGACAGCATAATAGTCCTTCTTCATTTGTTCGTATTAATGTTTTTTGTGATATGTTCATACATTTTAAAAATGGCTTGATTTGTTTATACTTATATTTAACAGTTATTGTTGCATTACAAACAAACTGTTCCATTATTTCGCTTTTAGATGGTATCTCAACCTTGAAAAAATAATAACACTTCAATGATCTCTAGATTGGTAGAAATAATAACTTTATAAATCATAAAACTTACACTACATTTTCCTGCTATTCCAGAAGTTGATATTTTAAAAAACTGTGGTTCTTCAGAAAACATGAATTCAACATAATCAGATGTGCTATCAATGTCACTGAGTATGTCTTTGAAATCAGAGGATCTTAAGATAATTTTACTAATAGTTGATTCAGCAGGTATACTAAAATCTAAAATGTCAAATACTTCCATTGTTCTTAAAGAGCAATCTGTTATAATACCTCCTTCTTCTAACCTACAATTAAAACAGGTAGAGAAAATAAAATCCATTAATCTATGTACTCTAGCAAATTACAATAATTTTACTGGAGATCCATATTCTTTGTATGTTAACTTTAGAGCAGTTGTGAAACTAGGGTTAGTTGAGCATCCATCAAATATTGTTAAGCATTCAATCAATGTATTGAGATCAACACGAAAAGCAACAGTGTCATCACTAAGTTGATATTCCTATAAAAGTATTCAAAATATTATAATTAACTGAGTCAACAAAAAACAGATATCATACTTGAAATATTTCACAACCAATAAAGGTATTTGCTTGCACACATTTAGAATCTTCAACTACTATTTTTAAGCCATGTTCAGTTGCAAAACATACACCAACCTATTAAAAAGTAACAATTAATAAAGCTTGTAAAACCAATATTTTATTATTAAAATATAAATTCTGTATGTTATATTCATTTACATTCTTTTTAATAAGTAATGTCTTTTATTTGTATTAATATAGTAGATAACTTACGTCTTTGAAATTAACTGCTCTTAACAAAGATGAAATGTGTTTTACATTATCAGCTTTAGCAACTAAAAGATATTTTTCATCAAACGAGCCATTTTTATCAGATTCCATGTCCTTAAAAAATATTTATGATGAAGAATCTGTAAAAAAATTTTACGTTATAATAGATATCACAAATTTATTTATAATAATTTTAAAAATAAAATAAAATTTAATAACAAAGACGAAATTCATAATTTTAAATATTAGCACATGTCTGATAACTTTGTGTTGACATGTTATCATTTTCTATATCACCTTATCAGATTTTCAGTGCATCCAAATTTTTTTACATATTATCAAAGTGCGATGGTAAAATGTGGTAATCAATATTTTAGGTTAATGTACAAAGTCGTCAGTAAACAATTATTTTCTTTTCTAAATAATTCTTCGTTCTGTCTCGTCGGAATCGAGTAAGTTAAATTTTTTATCCTTTCCAATCGATTTGTTTTGTTTTTTAAGTATGTTTTTATTTACTTCATAGTGTTAAGGGTATATTTTTATACTTAAAACATATACATTTCAACATTTTATTATTTAAAAATATTATTCCTAATGTATATATGTTAAGCCAATATCCAACTTCTAATTGTATATTCAAACATGTTAAAACGCGTTTCATCTAATGTTGATAATATTGTTGGATTACTATTGTCGGATATTTAGTACTCGTTTTCGCTTATTAAAAATATACGCCACAAGTGTTTTGTGTTAATCTAAATATTTTCTGTTTTAGTCTTGCAGACGAAATTGTACAATGGCCAAGTTAACAAGGGAACGCAAACGCAAATCTGCGATTAATGAAGTGGTAACCCGTGTGTACACCATTAACATGCACAAGAGACTACTGAACATTGGTTTCAAAAAGCGGGCTCCTCGTGCAATCAAAGAAATCCGCAAGTTTGCCACCCAACAAATGGGCACACAGGATGTGCGCATTGACACTAGGCTAAACAAATTTGTTTGGTCCAAGGGAATCAGGTGTGTTTTATATTTTTTACTTTTATAAATTGTTATTAATTCATTATAATGGAACTTAATAAATTACCTTCATAAATTCTTAGTTAAATGTCTGTTTTATTTAATCTTTTTATATCAAATATATATATATATGTTCGTTTTAATCTTTAATTACTATTTGTGGTAGTATTATATCCCAAGATATTCAAATATCTTGATTGTAAATCTTTAACTTGTAAGTTTTATAATTTATTTTGACATCATAATTGATTAAATTATTATTATACAATATTCAGTTTACTTAACCTACTTGGTTTATTAATACATTTTTAAGTTAATAATTTTTGATTGATAATTAATATTTTTATATTAAATAAAAATCATAAAGGATTATGGTCCTTGTTCTAAATTAATGTCCTTTATAGTTTTTTATCTAATTATGTTACTATAAAAAAATTTTAAATATTACATTGTATATCTGATATTTTCCATTAATGTTAAAGATAATTATTAAAATTAGAAATTTCATTAATAAAATTGTGTAATGGATACTAAAAATGTGTACATGAATTTTAAAGATTTTTGATTTATTCTTGATAAAAATTACAAATGCAACTTACATTTTTGTTACTTTCTTTTTTATTTTGTTATAAATCATTTAGTTTTAAATTTTGAACTAAAAACTAAATAGACTACATAAATCATTTTTAAGTAAATAGTTTATATTTAGAATTGAATTAATTAATGAGTATCATTGAATATTATTATGTATGTAATAAATAATAATTCAGTTTTGAATAAAAAATCGATCATTGGGTTTATATAAAACCAATAAAATCGCGAGATATACTAATTGTTAAATCAACTTATTAAAGTTCATGTACACATATATCCAAAATAGCTATTTTGTATATTATAATTGTTTGTTAACAGTTGATGATTGATTAAGTATACATTTAAATTTATTTACTGTTTAACTATGGGTTGTCAGCATCATTTTAATGAAATTATAATTAAACAATATTGTGTATCATGAACTGTTATTCAATTACATATAAATTTATGATTTTACTAATTATTGATTACAATATATTATATAATTTAAACAATACAATTTTTTAGGAGTGTACCATTCCGCATTCGTGTACAATTGGCTAGGAGACGAAATGACGATGAAGACTCACCACACAAGTTGTACACTTTGGTTACCTGGGTTAATGTACCTACATTCAAAAAATTAGGTACAGAAAATGTTGACGGAACCGAAGAATAACATGTAAACACTTTGTCTTTGATAATAAATAAGTATAAAATGATAAACTGTTAATAATCTAAGTGTATTTTATTTTCCATTTCCATTTGAGAGCTTATTAAAATATTTTGTATTTATAAATATATTATAATAATATAATATATTTATAATATATTTTTAAAACTAGAAATTATCCATTAAATTGTAATTAGGCAATTTAAATCGAAAAGTTCATATAATTAGTTATATTTCTACAATAGAATAGTTATTGCTAGGCTTAGGGACTTCTAGCATTTGCATACTTTTTTTAATTATTGTTAAATATAGCACGAGTACGAAATAAATTTGTTTCTTGGTGCTATGATATCAGATCTAAAATTTGAATATGCATATTTTTGCATATTTGATGGATTTTGCAGGAGAGTGCTTATTTTAACATTATATTTATTTTATATAGTTTGACAAATTTCTCAAATTTTATTATTTAAAATTAAAAACTATAGATACATATTTTAACCAATCGAAAAAAAAAATGTACTAAGAGAACTTTTAGTAATATGCTATCTCCAAACTACCTCTTATATGTTGTTACAATTTTTGTGTAAGTATAAATAATACTATATACCCGTATCAATCGTATAATCTGCTGAATATTGATCGGATGTCAATAAAGATAATAGTCGATATAAAATAATAGATTATTTGTTTAGTGTTCAGTTCAGTCGATTATTATCAGTTGTTTTTGCATCTCGCAACCACACAATGTTGAATCATACGTAAAACGTTGTACACAATTATTTGTAACATAGTGTTATGCCGAAATTACAACAGTCCTACGAGTAGCTGACTACAAAATTTTGTTTCGGAGTTTAAAAATATATTTAAATCTGATGGACACGTTTTATTTTGTGTACTATCCGGTCATTTTTTTTTTTTTGCGTATTTTAATGATTTTAGAAGCATATTTGTGTATTTTTTAGAGCTATAATTCCTTAAGCCTAGTTATTGCATTATCAGGATATGTAACTTACAAATGTAAATCGTTTAATACCTTTTTTAATTAACAAATAATATAATAAAAATATATTTTTTTTTTTTTTCATTAGGTACATAATTTTTAAAATTAATTTTGCCAAAATATTTTGACGCCCCCGGGCATGTGTCTACTCGTGCCCCTCCTAAATACGGGCCTGACCCTATCATAAATTGTGAAATTTAATAATAAAAAAAAGTTATTACCAAGGTTGGCAACTTACGGCTTTCCAGTTCTATACGCAAAAATTAATTATTTTTGTTGCTTTAAAAATATTGTACCCGTACAGGGTACGCTAAAAAAATAGAGGCACTTCGTCCCCCTGCCCCCCCCACAATTCGAGCACTGTATTTTCCTGATTATTAAATTCATAAAAGTACAAACATAAAAATAGTAAAAAATATTGTTCAGAGTGGTGTTGGTATTTCGGGGTGGTTTTTTTTTGGAGCTAGATAACTAAAAGTTTCATGTTTCCTTATTTTTTTTTTCGTAGTAGATTAAATGATTTTGATTTGATTAAAAGTCTTGGAAATTTATCACAAAGTTTATCGTACATATCTACATCATTATATCATATTGTTTTACTGATAAATGAAAATAAACAATTATCGAGATAGATAAACAAAACTATTTATGCAGTATTGTTTATTTATCTCGATGGAAAAAATTGAAATTCTGATCTAAGAAATGTTGTTGGATAATTTTGATATAATTATAAATAATAGTAATTATAATTATACAACCCAGTATTATAATTATTCCATCTCACCACATATCTCTTATTTTAAGCTGCTTTAAAATAACTACCCCATTCAAGGCCGGACTAGGCACCTATTGGGCCCCGAGACTGAAATTTTATATATGCCCTTTTGGCAAAACATTCTTTACAAAGCTGCTTGCTACGCTCATAGAACGGTACATTTCTTTAACTATTTCACATGTTGTCGATTGCATTATAAAATTAATAAGTAAATACAATTTATGTATATAAAACTACTAGTATGATAAAAAATGTGTATCGGCTTAAAAATGTTTGGGCCCCCTTTCACTTGGGTACACGAGAGGGCCCCGGTTAGACCTCCCCTTAATCCAACCTTAACCCCTTTAAATCATCGGTTATCACTAGGGCTCGAATTTCAATACAATTTTTTTTTTTTTATGACAGATAATGCTTTCCAAGTTTATAATTTGTTTTATGTAACACACATTTCAAAGGTGAAACTTATTTTGCATTTTTCAATCTTTTCTCATTTTAAGAGCATTTTTTAGTATTTATCGGTCATTTTATTTATTTTAATATATACGAGTATATTATATAGTATATTGTATAGTATATAGTATTTTTACATATTACAAATTTCAAATGTAAAGATCATTTTTCTTATAAGCACCTTCTTGAGTTTTGAAGCTTAAATTTATGGACCCGACTATCCCTTTACCAATTCAGCTAATTCTAACACGTTGAGAACTTGAATAGAAGTTATAGTATAATACGGTGAATATTTTCAATTTATTAAAACTGTAATTGATAGATTCGAAAAAAACAATACCATAGCTATTAAAAAAGTAAAACATTTAATGGCAGTCAAAGAAATGTAATTAAATTTAATATTTATAAAACCCAACCATGGATTTAGGTATTTTGCCGCCCGGTGCGATTTAAACATTTTCCGTACATTAATAATACATATACCTACATTTGCATACTAATAAATTAATAAACATACTTTTTATTGAAAGAAAAAAACACTAATCTAAATTAAAATAAATCCATTTCTTCATTAATAAATACAAATATTTTCATAATCATTGGGTATTTAAACTGTAAATAATACTAAACAAAGTTATATGCATGGTACATATGAAGTACATAAAGATAAGTTATCTATTAAAACTGCATTTTCTTGCTTTTGCATTAACAAAATCTTTTACCATGTCAACGTTATTTAGTTGTTTTGTCAATTCATGTTTAATTGCTATCATAACATAGCTAATCCACTTAATCTATCTTGAACCATGTTTGACCTTAAATATGTTTCAATAAGTTTGAGTCTAGAAAAACTTCGTTCTCCACTGGCGACCGTTACTGGTAGTCATAAGCGGATATCAGGGGCGGGGCTTAGACCCCCAAAATCGAAACTGTTAGACATTTTATTCATTGTTTTTATAATTTATTTATAATAATCTGTTCATTTTTTTTGAAAATCGTAAAATAAAATAATAATATTTATAAATAAATAAGGGTATTTATAATACCCGGTATTTACCTGAAATTATATTTACCGGGTATTTGCCCATCACTATACGTATATATATATATGTATACTTCCTTACATTTATTTACTGCTTTTGAAAACACCAAGTTACAATTACTATCAGACTATTAGTTGTATAGCATTAAATCATAGAATAATTAGTCACTACGTTGACACCTACAAATACGCAGCTTCACGAAGAACAGTCACGATCGTCTGAAACTCTGAACAAAAACAACATAATTCATAATTCGAACACTATCACGCCATGATGGCTATATAGTTAGTAACTTAGTAACTTAAGAGATTAAATTAATGTTTAACATTATTATCACTTATCAAATAGAAATTCGATATTCTGATTATTGAGATAATTCAATCGATTACTAAGTTATTGTTAGAAAGTACGTAGGTGTTTCCAGCGGAAGCTGAGTAAAGCTAACTTGCTAACAGTAATAAGCAATATTACTAATAACACTGCTAATTACTACAACTATCAAAATAACATATAACTGATAGTTTTATCTACACTATACTGTAAAAATAATTATTTATTGGATCACATTAATTTTATTTACTTTTAATTTATATCAAATTATTAAATAATGAATTGGTTGGACAGGCCCACAGACCAATCTATCAGCCAAAAAATGTGGCAGATGCAGCACATGAACCTGCTGCACCCGTGCGCATGCCTATATACCCAACAAGTAGTCATTACGGGTTAAAGTATTAAAGTATCACACATTTTTAATACATAAGAAAAAATCTAATATGTATGTTTATTTTATACATAAAAAATGTACATGTAAATATTATTAATCATACTATATACTTTAAGTTAGTGTAAGCAATGTAACGTTTGTAGCAACAATAAACATATGAACATACAAAATCTGGCGAAACGATAGGTTTCAAAACTTATATACAACTAAACCTAACATAATATAATAACATAATTTATATTTTTCATAATATAGATAATGAAAATGACGAAAATAATTCTGGCAATTTCGCCGTAGCCCATTGCTCGTTTGAGATAAACATGCGAGGTTAAAAATATCGTTTTGATAGTGATTATACGAGCGGTGATCGTCATGCAGTAATTTGTATTATATTTATTAATAGGTATTATATAAATAATAACTAAAAAAACGATATATCCATAATATTTTTGCCGCCCCTAATTACCCACTTAAAATTGCCGTTTGGTGTTAATGCACCGTTTGCACGTGTCTTGAGCCGGCTCTGACCATGGAAATATACCAAGCTTTATAAATTCTAAAGTTATACTTTTAGCTGAGATAATTAGTGTCGTAAATAATAACAAAACATGTATTTCAAATAATATAAGTAATTATAAAAAAGCAATAAAGAAGAAAACTGGAAAATATCTTATTAAAGAAATGTGGTTGTAGTATAGTGAAAAGAATTTCAAACATTTTAGAAGGCAATTAAACCTCGCTAACAAACAAATCAGGAGAATTAACACTAGACGATATTTGCTATTTCAAGTTAGCTCTTCAGTCAATGCCATTGTCGCTAGTCACAAGTCAATATTTTCATCTTTGTTTTTTTTTTTTCAATTAATTTATAAATTGCCTAATAATTAATTAGTATTTATTAGTCTATTAAAATAATTAATTTAAAATGTATTTAAATGTATTTGTCATTTTTTAAGGACTTTTTCATGGTAAGATAACTTTTATAATGGAATTTTAGGCTGTTTTTAGTGCATTTTTGTATGATTTTTAATGTATTTAAATCCGAGCACTAGTCATCACTATTAA